GACAAACGGTAGATAAAATATCATTGGTACACTAGGACAAAAGGTTGATTATACCCATGCATAAAAGCTGTCAGTAAAAATTCAGATATATTGTAGTGTAGTTAATCAGAAAAGGTCAGCAGAACAATGAACAACCAGTGCACATACTCATAACAATGTTCAATTACATTTTAACTGTTAAGACCAAGCCCCTTCTTTAATAGCCTTTTTCATTCTTTATGTACTTGGAAAGAAACTGGACGATACCAGTATGAATAAGATCAATAAACCGTAATCTCAGCTTTCGGTTTCAGTTTCATAATCATTTAGGAAAGCATAAGACTTCAAACCAGTAGAATTTGTCAATTAACTGTTTTGGTCAGACTCCGAGTCTAATACTTACTGAAGCTTACTTACACCCACAAATATGGCAAAATGCAGTGCACTATGAGAAGTCATGGGTTTTACTCATTACTTATTGCAATCAAAAAGCGTGTCCACACTCTCAAAAGTCACCACCTTGGCAACTGCACTCTACAATAAGTTAAATACCGCTGACTCTTTTTAATGTATAACATATATTTACGGTTTGTCTGACTTTTTACATTTGACCATGTTGTCCTTCATAATAACCTTCAAAAGATGTAGTTAATTAACACTTACAGGGTCACTTACCAACGCCCTCCGGTAATTGTCAATCTGTAATGCCCAATTACAACTGAAAACACTACAAATGAGGCAGGCTACACTATTTGGGTCCCTGTAGCCTGCCTCATTTGTAGTGGTTGAGTTGATTACAATCACTTAACCATGTAAAAATAGTTTGATAAACTCTGTCTGTCTGAACCCTTTCTGTCTCTGTGTCAAAGATTTGGCTTCTTTTGAAATCATTAGTTAACTTCATTGTCAAGTGGCTTGATGGTTATTTATTTTAAATGAATGACTCACACGGTAACGAAGAAGATATTTCAGTTCAACACATTAATTTCTAGCAAGCCTAATAATGAAGGATATTCTCCTATTGGTGGCTGTAGAGTGTTCTCATCATTACTCGTCATTAATAGTATCTCATCTCGGAGTCGCTACTATAGCTCACTTTTATGAACATGCAATGAACAACATGAGTTGTACATTGCTACCTAGCAGATGGATTCTAAGTGAAAAAGGACACGTTTTGAGGTCACCCAATACGAGGGAAATGGAACATCGTTCCCTGTCAGAAACAGGTACTGATAGATATCTCACTCTCTGTTTCCTTGTAGTTAGTGCTTTGCTTTTGTTGGCTTGGCAATAGATGCCAGCAGGCTGAGCACAGGAGAAAATGAAGTCCATTTATCTCCTGCAGAGACAGCGGGCCACTGGAGGCTGTACATTTGGGCTTCTCTTGTTGGCTTATTAAAAAACAAAGAGACGTTGCAGAGAAGTTGCAACACATTCACATTTATCTTACTGGTAAAAGTTAACAAAGCTGTGTCATTGTTGAAACACAAACGATGACGAACCTAAATTCACTAATAAAACGGGCTAAAAAAGAAAAGTCGGGGGAAAGCAAGTAAATTAATTCAGATGTCTCTTTAAGAGCTACTTGCGGTTTTCATTAGGTTGATTGACTGAAAGAGAGCTGGGCTGTGATCACAGAGTCACCTCCATGCTCCTGCAGGTTACATCACTTTCTATTTAGCTGTCCAACAACACCCATTGAAAGCATCACAAGCAGGAGGTTACACTGATTACATAAAAAACAGAACGCCAGCTGAAGGCGTCGTTGTCCCCCAAAATACGTCACCCATCAATAGGTAGCTAACCCGGGGATTTAGGAAGAAAGCCTGCACACGATGCAACATTAGGGAAGATTTAAGATCTTGAGGTTATTGTGGGATTCTTCCTATGAGTATAACAAGCACGGTCAATACAGCCCCCCAGGAGGAGAGGGACTCAATTAGAATAGCAGACTGACACAATCTAATTAATAAACCTACATAGGTCCTTTATATCTCATGTTCAATGTTACACTCTTTTCTGATATCACGTAAATTACAATTAGTACAATTATGAAGTAAATTGTATTAATATCTTTGGTTATTTGATATTAGTTGGATTGAGTGCTGTGCACTGCATTTAACCTGTATTGATGGTAAACCCGTCTCTGTACCACTTTCTTTCACAGGACCTGAGACTGGTGACATTTAACCGGCTGAAAGATTTCTTTATCTTTAGCGAAGCTGTAAATGTCTGAACAAGAGTTCACGCTGTCAAATTAACCTTGAGCCCGACCGAGTGTGTGGAGTAGTTATAAAGAGTGTTGATGGAAGATGGTCTATGTATAAAAGTGCATTCTTCAACTCTCATAATCTGTAAATCAAAAGTAAGTTGTCCAAATCAAGTCGAAGAGCAATGTTAACCATAGAGTAGTAAAACGGAACCATTGTAAAGATCAACGGATGCAAGCAATAATACTGTACATACGTACTACATGTGTGTAATATAAATATGTTTGCTCAATGCCACAACTGTTGTCACAATCTGATATTTCTAAACTTATACCATTATCACTCAATTGCTTAATTGGTGCAATAACTCCATGTGAGATGGCAGAGATTCAAACATCATTTCAGAGGGATGTTTCGCTTATTTACAAAGTTATGTATTTCATTTCTATTTCATCGCCTTATGTCCTCAGGAATTATGACGATGATGATTTCTCAAATTAACCAACTCCCAGGGTGCCCGTTTGCTATAAACATATTCTAACCTTCTGCATCTGTGGCTCTGATGCATAAATGATCTAAAGGTTTAATATCACATAAGTGAAGGGAGGAAGCATGGAGTGGGATATTTTGTCACAGAGACAGTGGGAGTTGGCCAGTTATGGAAGAAGGTTCACAGCAGTGAGCAGTCAAGAGCAGTCCAGCTGGCTAACCAGACACTCCAAAGCCTAATTAAATAACTATATCTGTGGGTTTCTCAGGGACAGAGGACACTGGGACTGAAGCAGGACGTCATGTTGAGTCTTGAAGTCTGGGAACTTTGTTAATTCTTCCACAGTAGTCCCACTTCCAGCGGTGAGTGTAAGTGTAATTTTCATAGAGACACTAATTATTGCTACATGTACGAAAGTGTGCTCCACTTGAAAACTGCATTACACAGCAACGTTGAATAAAAAGGGCATGGTGATACATTATGCTCATATACAGACAGTATGACTTTCTGCTTTGTGCAATTTCTTTGGTCAAATTGGAAGCTCTGTACTATGATAACGAGCATCGTAAGCATACCCGTTATAATAAGTATGTTGTTGTTGTTATTGAGAGTATATTTGCACACTAATGTTAGCATATATCCCAAAAGCACCCCTGGCCTAAAGTACAGCCTCACAGAGCTGCCAGCATGGCCTAAAGCCTTGTTTTTACCCTCCAATATTATGTTAAAGAAATGTGTTGTGTCAACGCTCATAATGAATTCTGAAAGTGAGTCCTTTTTATTCTCTCACGCAGTGAAAATTATTAGGTTAAATTAAAAAATTAACGTGAATATTGAAACGTGTATGTGACGTGTGGTTAGAAAAAGGATATCAATGGAATGCATGAGGGAACTACAAAATACAGTCCCCTCGGTTGAGTTGTGTCTGCTCTTCTTCCTCAGCATTGCGTGTGCGTGAGTTTTCATTAGATGACTCTTCTTTCAATCTTTCAATAGACCAGCTTCAAGCTTTCTGAATGCAAATAACAGAATAATATGATGGTCGCAATGTATAGTATGTTTTCCTTTTTATAATGTGCTGCATTCCATCTTTTTGCTAGCCGAAAATAGACGGCAAAGTATCTTCTATTCTGTTTAAATTCCGTTCTAGATACTGTATAAAACAACGCACTCTGCAAGTGGGGCTTTTTGCAAAAGCCTCATTTGTTATTACGGAGGTATTCTCAACCTTCTTCTTAGAAGTGTGTTTGTGTATACGTATAAATGTATGCGCTGCACAGTACATGTACAGAGTAACTGGGAGATAGACAACATGTGAGAGACGGCATCAGAAGAGCTAGCTGGAAGCATTTCAGAGGTATGTGCTTTTACCCCAGGGGAAGTAGGAGACAGCTAATTACTACTGAGATTTCCCATTTTCCATCTCTTATTAGTCATTTCCTCATTACAGGCAGGCAATAGGCAATGAGCCCATGCAAATAAAACCAATGAATCCTTTGTCTTCTCCGTTACGGGGTTCCAAGCTAAATGCCCCAAGCATGTTAGGGAAGCCCAGCTGGTTTCAAAGGTATCAAAGGTAATCTGATAACATTGAAGCAGTAAGATAATGATTTCAATAAACAACAACACGTTGTTCCTTTGTGCAAGTCTGCTGTTGATGTCATTGCAAGTGAATGTTAATGGTGAATGTTTTTTAATTGTGGCCATAAATCAGTCGGTTAGGCACAAATGGGATTATTGTGAAACGAGAAAGCGAAGTTTCACATGGCGCTCACCTGAGGCTCTGAGCCCCGCTGGATAGATAATCAGTGGTCTTGCAAAAGATAGTAGCCATCAAAATCAACACCTTTCTTTTTTTAAAGCTTTTTTCTTTAAATAATGTGCGAATGGCCTCCTCACAGAGACCTCAACAAATCCTGGATCGCTGTCCCTGAATCTGACAAAATGAAGGTTCTATTTCTCCCTACAAGTAGGTGTAACCATGGAAACAACCGTCATTCAGCGCTCTTAACAATAGCCGTTAAATGAAAAGAGCTGTCTGATAGAATTAAAGAGTAGGCTCAGACCCTCTTCCCATGAAATGAGTCGTCCGAGCATCTTCATCAGAACCAAACAGGGAAGATCTACACATATATGAGATATCTCTCAAATTTCCATTAATCTCTCCAGCGGTGAGCAATGAGAAAATATTACATCACCAGCAAATATAATCATAAGAGACCGGATGACAAAAGCAGACAGATGTAATGTACCATTTTTGACCCCCCCCCGTCTCCCCAAATCCAAACATCAGTTAACATAGCAAGAAATAATAAAGACAGTTTCACTTAAATGATGAGATTTATTTACTTAACTGCAAGCGTAAAGTACAAGAACAGCGATTAGTGTAAAAGTAGGCTTGCAACATAAGCATATCATGAGAGCCAAAGGAGTGAACAGCACAGCTTTACAATAAAAGTAAGCATGCAACAGATCCCTTTTTTCCTTTTGAAGAAATCTAATACTCAATATTGATGCATGGGTTGCTTCCTTCCCACTCGGCCTGCATTTATACCAGTTGCATATCATGGTTATGGGCTGTAAACCTTGTCCTGGTTGGTAGTGAATGGGTGAAAGAGAGAGATAGAAAGACTGTGACATATTTCAAATACATCAGCGTCGTGTAAAACCTATGACTTATGACTTAATTTTGTCGGACAATGTTGTAAGTGCAGATAAGAGAAAATAAACAGCTCAGTTAATTCTTCCCATGTTTTTTTTAATCCGTAGTACAAGACGGCCACATGGTTTTTGCTCTTAATCTCTCAAGCGTTTCAGCTCGCTGCTGTTGCACCACCGTGTTACAAACAACGGTCTCCCATTTAAAAATAAATTTTTCTCCTTTTTGTAAGTAAATGTAACACTGTGCACAGGTCCAGCTAGCTCTCGCACACAAGCATACAGTGATAATTGATGAATACTTAATTCATAATTAATTGAAACGTGTCATTATAAGAGGGAAATTGTATAAATCACATCTCAAATAATAAGAGTACAGGGTGACACCGTTTAAGCTGGTGCAGCTCGTAACTTCATGCAAATTAGCACGATATCTGCGATTCCTTTCTTATTTAATCAGACTAGGTATCTACCAAAGGTTTGTTGGAGAGCATATATCTGGTTAAAATATTTTAATTTATTAGGATAATTATCAATTGAGATAAATAACTTGTATCACTTGTAACTCCAACCTGTAACTCATCGTGAGACCAAATTCCCTTCAGGATTATTCACATTAAAGTGAGTACGGCTACAAATCCTCAATGTGTGATCTTCAGAGGAGTTCAGAGAGCAGCCAACAGCAGAGCTGGCCGTGCTTAGTGGCATTCACGAGAAGTCAATATTCTACATCTGGGGAGGGCTGTTGAAGCACTAGAGGACAAATCAAAGTCAGATTAATATATGACGCTTTTGGGTGGACATGTGTATGCTAGAGTAGCTGTCAAGAGTAGATATGCTCCCAACAAATTCAATGGATTTAATGTCCTCTTGAATTAGTAGGCCTTCAGCCTCATTCAGAGCACAAATACATTATATCGGCTAAATGCGCCCAAAGCAAATACACACAGCACCCAGGCGTTACTAGAAGAGGCAGCAGATTGACCGATAGCAAACCAAAGAGTATTGGAGTTATTACCGCATTGTGAACGGTGATTAATTCAACAGTATAGCGTTCATGCCTTTGATGCTCTTCTGCTGGTACGAGTAACAATTTGTCGTTCTTTCTGAATAAAATCTTCTGATTTAAGGAATATATTATGCCTTAGTCTGAAGCCAAGGGAAAGGTCAGAAAATGGTGTATTTCAGTAATACATTTGCTTCGCTCCGATAGACTTTGTGGGGTTTATATTGTTATTCCTATCTCTAAAATGTTGCTCTTATGAGTGCTTTGTAAGAAAGTGTCGAGTCATCTACTTTTGGGGGGCATGTGTATTTGGGAAATAATCCCTTGATAAAGCTGAGAAAGCATTTTTCAAGGTAAGTGACAGTACATTTTTTAATATAATGAATATTGTAAAGCTCAATATAAAAGCTTTACAATGCAGTATCTCAAGTAAACAGTGATCCTACCAGACAAGAGATGCTTAGAAATGAAAAGAGAAGTTTGTTTTGGAAATGCACATTAATGATAAAGCCCTTAATACTAATAATATGCTGAGAACATTTTCACCGCTGATTTTTCTCGTAATATTCTAATATAAATGTTTTACAGGAGTCACTGATCGCTTAGTGTTGTCATTGGTTTTAAAATGTGTCCGTGACCCTTTATGAAACAACGAGAAGAATTATATTGCATATAAAAAGCAGCTGAAAGAAAATAAGGAAACACTGCAGAAACGTAAAGAATGCTACCTGTGTCGGCTGGCTCAGGGATGACAACAATAACAAACAATTTAGATTTTCACAGTTTATACCATAGCCACCTGACAAAAGACCAAAAATGGGGTAATGTTGTTCATCTTTTCTAGGCGCCAAAAATTATTTGCGCTTTGTCCGGAGAATATGCCGAAAACCAAAACACATATCCTGCTTAAAATATCTTGCAAAGATTTGTTGACTCCCTGTGGTAACTGAAAAAAGCATAAAGAGCTCAAGCTATAGCAAATGTATCATACTGCAGAAGTAATGTCTCATGTAGTTCCAAAGATGTACAACGTGAACACTTCTAAAACGGTGAAACATCAGAAGTTAACAAAGACTTTTTCACTGCTGCGTTTGTCTCATTATTTTAATTACTGGGTAGTTTGGTGATTATTAACATAGAATACACTAATCTGCAGATGTCTGTTGCCTCATTGTAATCCAAAGTACGGTCAATCGAGAGACGAAGGTGCGTAAGTCAAAGTCAATGTAAAGTTCTGAATGCAGCACTGACAACAATATATAGACTTCGGTATTTCTCAGTTAAGGAATTGGATTTTGGCATACAGCACATCTTCAAAATAATGTGAAGATATGACATTTGTAAAACAGCAACATAAAAGACAGAGCTGTTGACTTTTAAGGCCAGGAAGGAATAATAAGCCTTCACCCGATGGATGGATCAGCACTGGAGGATTTGGCCTGCATGCAAAACAAATGGTGGGGTAAAAACAACACAAGCCTCCAGGACCCATGATGCTGAGACCCGCAAGCTGCAGGGTCTTGGTTCGCCCAGCCATTGTTGTACTGTCATGTGTAAACACTTTGATGGGTGTGAAAAATGAGATAAAGGAGTAACAACACATTTAGAACGATTCTTCTTCTCCACTCCATCCCCACGATCGCAAGGCATGCGTCTTTTCTCCCCCTTCAGTTTGCTGGACTGCCGCTGTGGTCAAAGCTCGGTCCATAAGCAGGAAGGATGGTTATTCAGTAGGGGTGGTGGCGAGAGGGCTGAGGACGGGGGTCAGTAAATCCCTCAGAGGACACATAGGGGAGATGGCCTTATGGCTGTAGTACTCCACTACTTGCTTGGGCACCTCCGCCAGAACACATTTGGCCAGAGCTGCAGGTGAAGCCTGCAACACAGACAAATCACTTGAGTTGTCAGGACCACTGTTAGATATTGGTTTAATCTGAGATACAGAACACTTTCCAGTAAAGTTTTTAAGTTATTTCTATTCTAAGGGATAAACTAACCGTAATAAACTAATTAAAAGAGGTATGTCAGTGTTAGATATTGTATACATGGGTAACTTCTCTGTTCCTGACTCTTTAAAAGTCCTTTCTATCTCTTCAGAAAAATAGTACGTTTGCAGTGTTTGCATTGCAGTGAGTTAATTATGTGATTTTTAAAACAGGTTTGCATACAATTCAGTTGTACATTATATTTCCCAAAAGATTTCAGCTGAAAAAAACATTACATAAGGGAGTAATAGAGTCTGCAACTTTATCAGAGAGATAACTAAAATATTATTCCCGGATGTGTTTTGATGACGGTGATGACATTGTGCAATACATTCGTTCAACTTTCCCGTATGAGTTTCACTGCTGTGAGATCTGGCGACTGTGACCACAAGGTATTGATTCACATCATTTTCCTACCTGTCTCCACCTTCCTTTTATAGACCTACTATGACGCAAATTTGGGGAAATTTGCAACATCAGATCCGTAACAGGCGATGTAATGCTCTGCTAAAATGTTGCTGATTGCAAACATCGATACAGAACAATACATTGTTTTTCAAAATCTTTTTCAATCCCTGATGTCCATCTGTGGCGCTGGCTAAGCCAGTGAAAGCTTGCCGCGTGCTCTTCTGAATAACAAGTGACGGAGGCGTTATGTAAAAAATAAAACGTAACGTCCATAAGCATCACTGGCACAGCTGTCAAAAGGAGAAGCTGAAAGTAAACGGGAGAAGATCGACAGGACGGGAGAAAAACTGACCGTTTTGAAGTCTCTGAAGGGCACAAACTGCACAATATCCCTCAGGACTGGTTCGCCCTTTGGTGAGCGCAGAACGCCATCATCTCCATCCAAAATCTGCATGTCTGTGAAGTCTGCATTGCCCACACCAACAATGATTATGGAGAGAGGCTGGTAGGAGGCTCGCACAATAGCCTCACGCGTGTCTGCCATGTCTGTCACTACACCATCCGTGAGGATGAGCAGGATGTGGTACCGCTGGAAGAAGATAAGAGAATTTGAGTGTGTATTAATCTACGTTGACGTTCACCCATTATAAAAGCATAGTGTGGTTTTGAGCGAAAGCCCTCAGTGTGTGTTGTGGTGTAAATGCTTTTTGCGTTATCTTTGGTCATTTTACAGCCTTCACTGAGTAGATAAAAATCTGTAAAGATCTGTATGTCACTTTATTAAAATGTTGAAACGAGGGCATCAAGAAAAGATCAAAACGGAGGAAATTAAAATCAAAAGCTCCAGATTGTGAATGTACAGTGTATAACCAGCAAGCACTATATTATCAGACAATAAGAAATACACGTTTGTGTATTATGTGTTCCCTGGAAGTCTAATTGTTGACTTCAGTTAACTTATTAATAAAAATAAGAACTAAGAAAGTAAAAAAGTAAAAGAAAGAAAGTAAATAATTCCATGAAGGTCAGTGCGATTACAAGAGTGTATTAGTTAAGAAGACAATTTATATGCAGTAATGTGAGTAAATAGACTTTCTCACTCCCAAAGGGATTTCAAGCAGCACAATCATTCTATTCACCACTCATGTTATATCCCATTCAGGTCATTTCTAATACAAAAGCGGGTCAGTAATATCATATTGTGTATTAAAAAAACAACAGCAATATGACACTTTATGACTTTTAAAGAATACTAATTTGTTCTATATTGGGCCTTACTGCTGGTTGAGCCGTAGGGCATCATCGCTATAAACAGTGATGTGAACCAGAGGCCACTCACACTGGGAATTCAGTGGAACGCACAACAGAAAAGCCTGTATTACAGCCATTTATTTAACAGAGTACAAAGAGTCACTCACAGAAGCATCTTTAATGTTGCCGTCGCCGGCTGCGAGCTTTGCTATCCTGTTAATGATGGGAGAAACATTGGTTGGGCCGTACAATTGGATCTTGGGGAGACAGTTCTGGTATGCCTCGACCACTCCTTGGATCTCTGATCAAAAGAGAGAACAGAGCAAAGTGAAGGAAGCCTCAACAAAGATATCTATACTACTGAACACGCACATCATCCAACAAACCACTAAAAAAGCTACAGGCAGACAAATTATAGGTTATATTCTACCAAAAAAGTGAAAGAGGCCTGAATATCCGTTCAGAAAATCAAACATAAACACTATGGGACTCTGGTACCAATCTAGAAAGGCATAATAATTGCTCACAGAAATGCGTACAGAGAAGTCGGCTTTCGTATATGCTGTTGGATGTGGGAACAGCTGAGAAATACTGATAATTTAAACTGTGTTGTTAAATTGCAGAAGTCTAGTATTACTAGGAGATGCGCTTTGGGGAAACTAATGTCCAAAGCCGTTCCTCACCTTCACATTCATCATCCTCTGGGTTGAAATTAATGGCAAAGTCATGGGACACCTGTGGATTGAGAAAGATGTTGTGAAATACTTCTAATCAGCTCAGCAAAACCAATGGAATCAAAAATGACCAGAAATGAAATGTGGAATGTGAGCGATCCAACATTTGACAGCTTTTGAGTTTGGATTTCACTACAGAAAATCATTTGTGATGATAACTACAACAGTCAAACTGAAAAATGATACTGTGATTTCGGGGAGTAAGAGAGAGAATATTTATTTATATTATATATTTATGAATAATCGGCTGGTTGAGCAGAGGATACTTTTTGCATGTAAATGAACGAGGAAACTCCACTCAGAGCGCAGATCTCTGCCAGGTCTCCAGATGTTGATCAATTGCAACCCATACGGTTAAGATGAATAAGCCGAGAATGACGATGTTAAACATTCAAAAACGATTTTCTTGAGCACACAGTAATAAATTACCACAAAAAAATTAGACATCTGAATCCAGTACCATGCAAGATGAACGGTGGACGCACAGAAAGACAAACACATTCACACACGCACACACACACACACACACACACACACACACACACACACACACACACCGAACAGAACACAAGAATGCCGCCCTACTAAAATATACTGCAGGTGCTAATAAAAGAAAAAGTATACATTTAGTTTGGAACTGGTAGCAAAGGAGTGTTAACTGTAATAACGTTAGAAATAAAATATTCAAATATAAATATTTACTTTGTCTATCTAAAAGCTGTTAAACTGGCTAAAGAGGTGATTACAAGTGATACATCCCGCACAAGAAACTCATTTTATTATTTTATTCTTATTCTTCAACTGTCAGCCAGATCCATGACAACTGATTCCTCCTCAGCTGGCTACTTACTTCTGCCATTTTTGTCCTTATTGTGATTAAATAGCAAAACGGCATTTTGTCAGTTAATTGAGACACATCAGTGGTCCTAGAGAAATGAATCAAACAGACCACTATTTGGTCTTTGCATTGGGCCACTATCGGCGTCTTGTTTTGCCTTTTATTGAGCAAAACATTTGATATGACGTTGTCGGCATGCGATTAGCAATTACACCACAATCAGAGTCCCAATGAAGCCGAATGTTTTAGTGTCTTTGGATCCTGAATATGGAAACGTTGCTTTTCATGATCAGAATTGAATTTACATGATATAGTGGCTTTTTACAAATTTCAATGCTTTCTACATGTTAATTTATGTTTTCTGGTGTCACAAAGAGCTTGCAAAGAAAAAGCAATGTAAGCATTATTTGCCTTACAAGCAGTAGGATACAAGCAACGCTGCTTCCGACTGTCAGGTTGTTTAGGGAAAAGCCCTGCACTCACATGCATACACGTCACCATGGTTACCAAATTATTTGCAGAAACATATAGAGTACACCCTTTCCTGGAATGTTTGCAACCTGCTATGGGATTTGTTTGTAAATTCATGCAAAAATCCAATATCGATCATATAATCCAAAGGTCTGCGTCCTAATTTAGTTTCAAACCACCAATCAAATCAAACCAGGGTTCAAATGAAAGAAAGCCTCAGCCGAGGTCATGTGTAAGAGAGCCTGCATCCTTGGCAAATAAACATCTTGGTTTCATATCACACGCATACTCCGTTATTAAGGACACAGGAGTGCTCCGTAGGAAGCCTGTACTGATAAAGTTTCCATCAAACCTGCACACCGGAGTAGCCCATGAGTAAGATGCAGTTCATGATGAGTCTGATTACTCCATTAGCATTCACCTGCACCATCACCACAATGTGGCAACAGCATGAAATAAAATACATTTTACTCCTGCAGAGCACCTCACTGTCAGGATAGATTCAGGAATTAATAGTGTTTATCTTCTGAGCTACAAATCTTTGCATGATTGAAATGATCAATATCAGTGTTTCACATGAGTATGAAATGAAAAAAACAAAAATATTCAATATCAAACAGCAAAGTGATTCGACTATTTTTGTGTGTGTGTGTGTGTGTGTGTGTGTGTGTGTGTGCGCCCACTCAGTCACATGTCAAACGTTCCCCAAGGGCTTTATTCAGAATTACTGAAGGCTTTTGGTTCTCAAAGTCCCAGTTGAACAAATGCTCTCGCTCTTAGGAATTCTTATGTAAATTGAGCATCAACACTATGTGTTTTTTATTTCATTAGACCAGTTGATATTTTAAAACTTGGGGCTTATCAATACAAATAAAATGTAGCCATTCTAAATGGGAAATTTTTACAGAATGACAAATTGTGTCATAAAACTGTACAGGAAAATTCAATGCTTAACGAGAACTCCCAGGGGTGGTGGAAGAAACAAGCTAAACATGCATAATGATGTTAATTTGAAGGAAAGAACAGTGTCATGAAACAGAATAGATAAAAGGGGAGGCTGACCCGTATTAATGGAAAACTAGGAGGGCACAGATATGCAGATACTCACCTCATAATTTGGAGGGATTCTGGCTCCGAACCCCAGAGCTGAAAACCTTTTGTCACTGTAAAGATAAGCAAATTAAGCAGCTGTGAACAGTTACTGAAGTTCAATCACGGAACAGCTTTTGCAGTGATCTAAATTATGCTGATGGCTTATCCATGTGTTCACGTTTCCAAAAGGCAAACCCCGTGCTTGTTGGCATTTCATAAATGCTAAAAGCCTGAATTAAAATGGGAAATCTGTCAAACGGTCACTGCAGCCAGCACTTACATCTGTTCAAAAAGCTTCCCAAGGTCTTTACTCTCATTGTACAAAATAAAGAGGCTCTGCTATGCTGGATGGTCAAAGACCAGGGTCACCCTTTTAATGCCATGGCAGGGTGCATAGACTTGTGTAAATGAGAAGACGAAATCTGTGTTTCACACCTCTCTCCGTTCACCAGGGATGAAATCCAACCACCACAGCGATGCTGCAGATGGGACTCCTGAAACATAGTATTTTTTTAACTTCTGGTTCTTCTTCTTGTCGTGAAGACCGGGGGGCTTTTTGAGTACTTTTTTTATGCCTGAAATAAGGTTTGTGGGAACGTTTTTTTCTACAATATGACATAATTAAATAGTATATACAATATGATATAATAATTGAAATATATTATGGCTGCATCTCTCTCGTACTTTTAGAAATGAAAAATCAAATCAAATGTGGTACTTCCTTCTAAAAGTACCACATTTAGCGTAATTCCAGTAGAAAGAGAAGGACAATTATTAAGTGCAATGTATATAAATACCACACCCTCCACGTATATACTGTACTCTATGTATAATAGTTTATATAGATAGATATATATATATATATATATATATATATATATATATATATATATATATATATATATATATATAGCATATGCCTGGCAAAACAACCTCTAATCTTCATCCCAGTGCAACACAAATCTCAGGCTTGACAGACATGACGTTGTTTGATTATTTTCTCTGGAGAGTGCGGTAGTATTACAGGGTACACATTACACTGGTAATAACTGTTGATTTATTAGTTTTGTTGACAAGTGCTCATTAGAAATTTGTTTGCCCACTCACAGAGCTAATATGGCTTTGAGGCTTCTGAAAAAGTGATAAGTTTGGACTTATATAACACTGGAAGAGTGAACTCTTGACAGAAGCAACTTCTCTTTGGCAAGTTTTAGCTACCATAATAGCAGCTGTGGCAATAACAGTTTTCTGCATTCATAGCCTAATACACACAAAGGAAAGGCATTTGTTGTTACGAGTAGTAGTACTAATAGTAGTATATCAGTATTAGTAGTATTAGTAAAATAAGTAGTCATAGTAAAAGCGATACCTTGAATTAATAAAATACAATACTTCTGCTAATATATCAATTTCATTACATTTATCTCTCCTCAAAGCCGTTAAATGAAAACAAAGAAAATGTGTGTTCTACTCATAGCCTCATAACCATGTGACTGTAAGAGTTGATAGTACCACCACTAGACTTAGTAAGAAAGACATCACTGAATACAGTGCTTGTATTTGGTTGCCATAATTATCCTGTGTTTGAACATTTGAACTGGCTGTGATGCTTCAGGTTTAAACCCCCTCCAGTAATAATGTTCTAATTAAATGAATAGATTTCCGTGTCATACAAGTTCTGCAACTGACACAAAAGCAGACTCACCTCTGCACTCAGCTCCAACATCTACATATTTTCAATTCACTTTTTAATCCATTCTCCATATACTGAATTAAGGGCTTACTGCCCTTATTGTCAACTTTCAAACGCACAGGGATACGTCGTCTGGATGCAAAAATTACAAAAACAAATGTAAATGTGTTACCAATGTCGAGCGAGGCGAAGGACTGACTGACTCCATGCTGGGACAATTTTATCGTGAGATGTACTCATTATCTTAACCTCTACATTATTTCCATTCTTTTATAATTTGTCCTCTGAGCCTCACCGAATTGATTTCTAAGTGTCATTTTCATTTTTTAAAGAGATTGCGTATCATCTCTGCAGGCATGGAGTTACGAAGCAGTACCATCAGCCCAGGCAGGAGGACAGAGAAGACTGACAGGACATTTTCATTGCATGAATTTTGCTGTTAATTTTATGGTGCTCCTTGTTTTCTTTCTTTGTCCGCACACGTTAAAAGCAATGGGGAGATGTGCCCGGTCTAATAGCCCTCTCCGCAAGGTAAACGAGCCTCTGCCCACACAGACAAAGGCTCGTCACTCGAGCTCCATAATGCACTCCTCTGCACGGACTCCACAATCCCACATCACCTCTGTTCACTAAAGGCTAAAAGGTGTGCTCGCCCACGCAGTTTTACACCTCAATAACAATTGCAATTTAAGAGGGAATGGCGGCCTACACTCGCCTGTCACTGTTCATCCAGAGACATGTTTCCATGTATGATGCTTGTGTGTTTAGTAAGAAAGAAAATGATACAAATATAAGAATGAGCTGCTGATTTTCTAGCAGATTTTCAGTGTCTTCCGTGCTAAAATTAGACAGGCAGTGCTCCCTACACTATTCAATAGGAGGATCTGCATAAATCAGGAGTCAGGGTGTTAATCCTCATCTAGCTTAGTTTTGACAGATAAGAAGGTCTTTCTCTGACCCTCATCATATTCTAAATAATTTAGCATTAATTAGCAAGTACCTGTAAGACTAATATTTTTTCACATTTGTATGTTGTTGTATGTATTTTTATGTTGTTTGTATGTTCTATTAGCTATATCAACCAATTTGTATCGTTTATTTAATGTATCATTGTATTCGCTACAATGTCTTTAATAATTAAACAGGCATCCTGCTGTACCTACATCTGATTCTACACCACGCTGCCTCCTACTCCATGTTGAAGTGCTTGCTATCTGGTGTCAGCCTCTGTCTCTGCATGGGTCCCTGTGTAGTTCAGGCTAATGAGCCCATGCAAACTAAGAACGGAGAACAGTAGCTGCAGCAGATGCTGAGAGAGAACCGTATCATTGGGTTCTCCACAGGACAAAGCACATGCTGCCAGCACTGTGAGCATGGACGCTGTCAAGAACATGCAAAACAGGGGACACTGTCCTTACACGACCATTACATTACATTACATGTCATTTAGCTGACGCGTTTATCCAAAGCGACTTATGCAATGAGTGCATTTCAATCATTTCGGCCATCATGCTCTGTTTTGAAAACTGTTCTGCGAGAAGGGATTAGAAAAAGATTCAAAGAGTAGAAAACTGATGCTGTTGCATTAAATGTGCTTCTAAAGGTCAAACGCTATCATTTGCTATCGCTATCGACTGTGGCACATGGAGTACAGAGGGTGCGCCGGGAACCGCAAGGTTGGGGTTTGAGCCCCGGCAGCTCCATGTCCCATGAGGAAGTGTCCCTGAGTAAGACACCCAACCTCTAATTGCTCCCTGGGCAAAAATGTAAAAAAAATCCATGGGTTAAAAATGCAATGTAAGCATCAGTTAAATGTAATGTAATGTTTAGATGGATTGTTAAAAGCTGCAAAGTGATTTCCAAGATTATTGTGTCAGCGCATTTGACTGCCTCTACCAAGAACCAGCTCCAGCCTCATGTTTGAGTAATGACAGTGAAGGCCAAATTAGTTTGCTCTAATTTTCCAGGTAAAAACACTTTCTCAAGCATCACTTTGTCATGGTTAAGCACAGATTGAAATACATTTGCCGATGTGAACACGATGATTACAATCTGCAAGACCGTGTTTGTGCTTAACCGGCTTGTGTTCTAACAATGAGAGGCTATTCAGTACATAAAATACATTTCAGCAGAGAAATAAATCGGAGATGGAGGATCTAGTAGCCAACAGTTCAGCACTAAACTGGTGAGCAGGAATGTAATAACCTGCGAGATTTACTGCCATTCTGTTCCAGCACACCATTTCCATTTCCATCCTTTTGCCGTGATTGAGATACAGTGACTTGTTTTAGTGTGAATGATCCCATCACAGTGGCATGCAAAGGACGTTCATCTCAATTTTACAGCAGGAGACACTGATAATCAGCATAGGCCCTGAGGAGTCTTTACTAAGAATCAAAAGACTGACAAACCTATCATAGTCTTGACAGATCTCCCCCACTGCTATCAAAGCCTTCAGGTACTCGTTGGGTTGGTAAGGGTTGATGTAGTGCAAAGAGCAGCTGTTCCTTGGGTCTCCATTGGAGGCTGTGAAGTCAATTGCAACCTGGCAGGAAGAAATGTAAAGCAGGAACAATGTGACACTATGGGTTAAGTTTTTATTTTGCTGCTAAACATTTTTATTTGGCCGTAAGATTGTGAATAATTCTGCATGAGCAAGCCTGAAATGTGCATAATGGGAGCATAAATTATCTGATCCGAGGTAATAACTTGTGCTTTTTACACCCACATAAGTGGAAACGGTTCCAGCTCCAGTACACTTTAGATCAAAGAAGACAACTATTTCTACAAGGGGGAGCTGCATCTAGCATAGCCAATTCCTCGAAAGGACTATTCCTCGCTTCGGTAATCCGTCGAGAGTGAGATGTAGCACAACAAAGGTTAGACCATAAGGCGAGAGTGGAAGGTGCACAAAGCTGCCAAAAAGAAAACTTGCGAACGTACAAAGACGGTATGTTTTATGCATGAACATATTTTAATTGCTGTGTCACCTTCCGCAATCTGGAAATGTAACATTTGCTGCATCATGTCTTCTAACAGACCACCAAACAAGTCTTACCAGAGTCTGTTTCTCTACAAGCAATATGATCTTAGACTACTGAGTAATCTGGCTGTATAAGTAATTCATACACCAGTGACAGTGAAGAGTCACTAAACACAGACTGCTCAATTTACCGTGAAGTGAATCTGGCATCCTCCCATGATGTAATCTAAGAAGGAGTACACTCTGTGGAGCTGGAAAATAAAACATAATATTTATTTAAGGCAACCCCCCAGAAGCATCTGGTCATTAAAACAGAATTAACGCAACAAATCTGTTGAGAGTAAAGCATAAAAAAGTGATATATTTCTTATAAATTGCAAGAACTAAACAGGATTTTTTTTAATTTAATGAGCATAGGTGCAAAACAATATCTGTTACGACAATGGATTCATAATGGTCTTCAAATTGTAGGAAACTATTTCCTACGACAAAAACTGTGACATATGTTTTGTTCTGATTCTCACCTTAAGGTCACTGAGGATGACAACTCCTGAGTTTTTATAGTTCCTCTTCTTTTGTTTGTACTTGGGATTGATGCAATCCCACGTAACCTGGAACAAATCAGGTGGAAGACAAACAAAGAGAAGCATCAAACAGCTGCATTGGGAACAATGTGTATCAAGCAACATGATATTTGTTTCATCGGGGATGGATTTCAGGAGAGTGGAACGGGAGGAATGGGGTTTTGGGATTACTGGGAAACCTGTTACACGGGTGTCTCTTCTTCGCTGTGCTCCTTCCCTCCATTCACTGACCTTATTTCCACTGGAAATTTTCTGCATTTCCCTGAATGTGGCGTAGAACTCGCCAATGAAGTCGTGTTTCCCCCTGGAGTCATAATCCCACACGAGGCACTGTGGCACACGGGGACAACACCGTTTACTTTCTCTCCATTGGTTTGGCCCCAATTACCCAGTGTATTCAATCATCATTTCAATCATTCAATCGTATTTAATATATACTTTATTTCTGTCACTGTTGGGTCCAGATCACAACGAGCAAGTTTTGCTTCTTTACCTTGAGCTTGCGCTCCTCGTCACAGCTGCACAGAGATATGAGAGACACTTTAAAGGGCTCCCACACTGGATTCAGGTTGTTTTTAATCACCTGTTAGAGTAGGAACACATTACATATGAAGCAACGTTGCAGAAATTAGCTATTGCTTAAACCGAAGAGTGTATATAATGAATTTACTTCTGTTCTGTGCACTAGCTGTTCGGTTTCATCGTCATTGATTCGGTATATTTCCAAGAATGGGTCCGACTTGCTGAAGAGATCCTGCAGAGGAAACATAATATCAGAAGTACTGATTCTTAGTATCAATACAGGATCCTGAAACAAGAAAGACTAATTAATAACTATTACTTGTGAAATTTTCCATTTCTTCCAGAAATTGAATTCAATCAAAAGGAAGTCAGCAGGACTGAGATCATGATATTTAATGATAAAGAAATTACACATACAACCTCACATTTATCACAACTTTGACATAATTTAATTTACAGCATTGAAAAGTGTCAGTTGTTACTTATTGTTTAACTTTTACATAAGTCAAATATGAGAAAAGCAAAAAACAAACAACATTTGTAGTTTTTTTGGATTGTTTGTATTAAAGAAAACTGTAATTTCTACAAATGGCTGTTGTCACTGACGTTGCCTTCACGATTGAAGGACAGAAAGAAGAATAACATTTACAGCAGACCATCAAGATTGTGTAGAAAATAATCTTATAACCTTTTGGACAGAGAGAAGTTTGAGAATATTTTACAAGCTTCTAGCTTGAGGCATTCTCTGGAAATTCTTTTATTTCCCTCAATCACTGACCTTTTTCTTAAGCCAATAGCTTTTAATGACCTCCTAGTTCCTTCCTTACAGCCTTTATTGCAGTTCTGAAGAATCATTATTGGTTCCTTCAACCAATATTTGAAACTCTAGTAGAGAATTTAAACTTTCTTTTGCACAGTAGCCTATAGCTTCCAATGTGCAGAAGGCATCTGAAATAAGCAGCAGCAAGTTATTGTCACCATCTTGCATTGAGTTAACTGTGCGGTGGCTGTGTCCATACTGATAAGTAATGAATAATTTGATAAGTTACAAACATGGGGTAAGAATTTGCATCCTTTATGGTTATTTGAGGTCGCCTTGAATCATCTTTTGAGCTTCAGGCACAGGCTTCTGAGAGCAGAGCAACACTGATTATTTAGGTCAATTGATTCGTCAAGGGGGAAAATGATTACTGTGTTTTTGTGTACGTGTGTGGGGACTGGAAAGGGGGTGGGATGGTGAGGCTGCTTTGTCTGCACCAATGAGACCATTAAGGCTGCATTTCCCGCCAAATTAGCCGGATACTTCTCCTGAGGGGAGTTGAGGAAAAAGCGCCCATCCTCGCTCTCTGTTGTCATGACAACCGCTAGCCAGGGGTCGCACGGACGCAGATGTCAAAATGTAATCCTCGGCCAGTTATGATATCATTACTCCTCCTATTCACCTCCGTCTGTAATATGTTCCTTCAATATCTACAGCAGTTGGAGGTGATACGGACAACAAGCAGCTAAATAGAAACAGTTTGCAGCTTCAGTCATCATCTGTTAAACAAATTGTTATGCCCAACATCAACCTGCCAGATTAGCGGCGGCTGATTTGCTGTATTAGGAAAATTTGTATGTTTTACACTTGATTGCTATGAAATCAAGTACTGGGAATTTGATCGTAATAATGTTAAACAGATTAGTTACTAGCTTTTTGTTAAATATCTTTGTTTGCACCATTTAACCAGTTAAAGCTCCCATCCAATGTCACAGAGTTGTGCAGGGATGCATTCTAATACCCGGACATTAGTTCACATTTTTGCACTTCTGGATCCTTCGCCTCAAATTTGTTGTTCGATCAGAGTTCAATCAGCATCAAGAACCAAACTCTGCTCCAAATAAGCAGCAGAAATGTTTGTATCAAGTGAAAACATGAACACTTTGGTGTCTCTGCAGTACGTGATTACACGGCACTGCTCCACAGTGATGTGCCCACAGCTGTAATCAGGTTAAACAAAGCAAGGGGGTGGATTTTTCAGGCGGAAATTCAATACCTCCAGTAGCACCCTGAATATATGAAGTAAATGACACATGTAGGGGAAGATTCTTTTCATCATTTTCCTCGTGTAAGAGTCAGGTTCAATTTCACTGTCCGAGCAGCAGGAAACTGCCAACTGCATTCTCAAATATAGACGTACATGCTGCAGAAAATTCTAATATGTCTCCCAGCATTTATGTCAGACTGTGCGTGTGGCATCTTAGGGCCCGCTCCCAGGAGGATGTAGTGACTTGCGATCATCAGAGTTGTAATTGGATGTAAGCTCCCGCTGTGTCTTTGATTGAAATGTTTGTTCAATAAAGTTTGACAGCGTGAGAGCAGGAGCAGTTATGTTCAGTGACAAACAGACTCAAAGTAAAGCCATATGAATTCAAAAAATAATAATATTTCCCGAGTGATATCATGTGCCCTCCTGTAATATACGGCCAACACTTGTATGTTGACAAATGACCATCCACATGTTGAAGCATTATCTCTCTACAAATATGTGCACTACAGCGTCACAATTAGCCTCTTTCGGCTACTGTTCTCTCTGTTAAACCATATCTAATAAAATATGAACCATGTTGGTAATATCATCAAAACCATGTGCTCTCCCCACCTTGTCATCGAGCTTCTTGGCACAGAAGGAGAGCTCCACATAACCGTTGTTGCCAGAAATTTCCTCAGCATGCACCTGAAAGGAAATACAATTTGTCATCAAAATGTTTATTCATAGCAACAAATAACAACGGGTTGATCCGTGTTTCAGAAAAGAAGAAAAGCTAGAACCCCCCACTCCAGAAATTATTATAATTTTTTGGAAAATTACATTTGGTGACAGGGTGAGATTATTATCATATTATCAATATTAATATAGACGTAATTATCCGCCACCAGTATTTAACAAAAAAAAACAGCTTTTCTTGGTTTTGTTGTGAGTTTTTAGACACCCCTTTAATATCCTTTGCAATAAGTAACTTTAGAAGGGGTTGCAGTGTGGTGAGCAGTTGACGTGATGTGAAGTGGCTTTGACTTAACTCGAAGTGCTGGACATGCTAATTTGAGCTGCGAGCTAATGGGCCCCTGCTGTTATAGCTTATAGTCTCAGCTTGAACATAAAAGTCAACCCATATTACACACATTACAGAAAAGGCTTGTAACAGCCCTCTAACATTTATACTTTGTGTATAATTACGTGTATAGATGGAGAAGAATTACAGAGCGTCTTATGCTGATCCCTTCGGCCCAGTAATCATTAGAAAAGTAGTAAACTTGAAATGTTTAGGTTCCAAGCTCAGGGAAACATCTTTATAAAAGGAGTGGGCCGAAAGGTTTTGTTATTTTGCCGGCAAATATATTGACGTGTAAAAGAATTTAAATCATTTCAACTCATTAAAAAAAAGGATTCTCACAGTTGTCTAGAAAACGTAGTGTCTTGTTGGTTTGAAATACAAGGCAGCAGAATTTAACAAGGATCATTACGTCTTTAACTTCCCTTAGCACAGGCATCCAATACAATCTGTAACAGCACTGCATAAAAGTGCTGCAGTTGCTCTAATCGTGTCCGCATCCGGTCTCTCTCATGTTTTCTCAAACAAGGTAGAGTGGAAGACTGATGCACAATCTCGCTTGGCTTTTTTCAACTGCTTCCATCTCTGGCTTGTTAACTGTAAGATTGTGGTGAATGAACCAACAGCTTTTCTTTCCACGTCTAACACATTAGATGTCTTATACATTTCCTTTGTGCCTTGGCAGGATTAGCAGGACTGGAGTACCATGTCATCAATAATGGACACTTGCATGTATAAAAACTGACTCAGAGATGATGTATTCCATGAACAGCCACTGCAATAACAAAAACAACAACGTACAGCAGCAAAATGAAGCCATTCTGTGAGCGGTACTGTCAGCTTCGTCCTGAGATATTATTGTAAATAGTTTTAAAAAAATAGTGTATACAGGTGTATGTTCTTTATTTTCAATCAAATCAGGCTAATAAAGTGATCCACAAGTGGTTCATTATGGTGCCTCAGAGTGAACATCAAAAAAATGTAAATGAATGCATAAATCTATTTGACCTGTCAATCTGCCATTTGTGATTTATTTTGTCTTTCGATGGCATTTCGCTACTAAATTCCCCATTCTTGATACCCAGCAATGACATTAACCAAACCAGCAAGGTCACAAGCACAAGGTAAGTCACTTACGGTGATGGTGGATTTGCCGGCGTATTTCCCATACTTAAGCAACAAAGGCTTCACCATCCTCTTCTGGGCCACAATCTGCAAAGAACAAGGTTAGAACATTTTAGAGTCATCAACACCAGCCTCAGGTTAACTAACTACCAACTATTTCCCACAAACTTTGTTTGTTGATTTTTAATTGGAATAAACTGAAACACATTTGTAAAATCGGTCTACCTGGCCCAGAGTGCACTCCACCCCACCCAGAAAGTCGTCGTCGCGGGTCCCGATGCTGTGAGTGCCATGGATGTCATAGACTTCAAATCGCAGCTTCTGAACCTCTTCGAAGTAGTAGTCCCATGAGAAAACCTTGGCGAAGACCGGGTGCAAGTTGCTCTTGATCACTTCTGTCCTGTCCAGCTGAGACGGAAGACAGACTTTCATTTAATATGTTTCACCAATTGTAATTTCTTATTTTAATTCACTGCACGTGTGATTAAAAAAAAGTAGACCGCGGAGAGTGAAAGCATTTTTAAGAGATCTAACAAGAAAAAAGGAGTGTAAAACATAACTTATTCTGTCTTCCTGCTTATTTTTTGGGAAAACCAGCAGATTAAGAGCAGATGTTATCATGTTCGGGTAAAGAATCTATACTCAGCACACAGAAAAAGTCTGTGCTTGTCTTTCGACGCCTGACAAGGACCGGCAGAGCTCTCTGAAGCCCCATCTGCTCGTGACGGAGGATTTAGCCCTCACGCAGCTCCACGCACGCGTCTATGCCACCCAATTTATCATAAGGACAAATCATCATTGATATTTAAGTCATTCAATGCTGGCAAACATGCAGCCAAAATCTTCACAGCTAAAACATTCATGATATACTTTAGTTATGTTTCTGTCAAGTGCCTGTTTTTGGAGAGTCGACCCATCAAAAGGTTTAATCTGGAGCCGATTGACATTTCATCATAGGATATCTTTGCAGTCATGCTAAAAATAGTCACACAGTTGGATACAAGCCCAGACTTGTGTTCTGATGGCAGTGGAAAGTGTTGACATTGCTCTCTAATGTCTTGTCTTCTAGCTTTAGCGTGGTGATTTTTCAGAAAAGGTAAAACAGTAGGCTTAGTTCAATTTTCTCTCTGAAGCAGTGTCTTTTTTTCATTCCTTCCCACTTTCTCTGTGCCTTTTCACGGGCAAAAACAAGCGCAGCACTTCCAGGAGAGAAAATGCGTGCCAGTATCTCTATTTTCAGATGATTATGGAATCCCCCCCCCCGACCTCTGTGACAGCAGTCTTTCACACTGTCATCAAGTGGTCGGCAAGTAAGTTCATTATTAGCACAAGAGGGGTTGTTTCACTGCGAGCCGTTAGTGAAGCATCTCACCATGGACTCTATCTGGGACCAACGGTATTCTTCCTAAAGGCATTTGAGGTTCTGATTGTCTGTTGTGGGGGGCACTGTTAACACCTTAATCTAAACTCTCACAAAGGTATTCAGCTTGTGTTGACATCTGGGGAAGCACGTTCTATATAGAAGTTATATTCATCAAACCGTTCCACCGCTCGGCATCATCATCCCGAAAGAGACCCCTCCCATCCCAGAGGAAATATTTCATTATACAATAAAAGTGATGCCTCTCATTCTAATGGAATTAAGTGGACCGAAACCATGATGGGAAAACTGCTCCCACCTGTATGGGAGCATCTTTACTCTGTTTGATTGATATGAGTTTTATCCTTTTTATAATGTGTATCACGAGTTGATCTATAGGTTGGTAGAAGGGTTTGTTTTGTTACATTTTGACTCGCTTGAACTGAAGAATAAACAACACTGGGTGTTAAAAAAATCTAACTTTTGTCCTTGTCTCAGTTTTATAAACTGACTACTTCACTAGTCTACCTCCACCTCACTTGAGCTTTACCTTACCCGAGATATAAAGATAATCCCACAATCACCAATGCGACGGATGGCGTGCAGCAGGGTCAGCTCTACTGTCTTTTTGTCACTCATGGACAACATGACAAAGTAAGAGAAGAACATCCAGCTAGGCCGTGGCTTCCTCAGCCTCATTCATCATAATCTTTCTTTAGTGTCCTCTCTTGCCGTCTCCTCCTCTCTCTGTGCCATCTGGATCGACAGATTTGGAATGAATCTGTCTGTTGACGAAAGCTTCTCAGAGCAAAGAACGATAGATGGTGCCGAAGTCTGCGACGCCGGTTTGTTGTTGGATTGGGGCCAGAATTATAGAGAGCTCGGTTCTTCCAGGTATGTTGAGCGTTATCTCTGGAGCTAAATCAAAACAGGCCCCTGTAGTTGAGGTCAGATATTGGCCCGAAAAGATCTGCTTTTGAATGAATTTACTATCAGCGTAGAGTCCAATCCACACAAAAAGAAGATAAATCAGCTGTGGGAGAAAACCTCAAGTGCTCTCCACCCTGCCTCTGAGCTCGTCCTTTGAAGTGAACAGGTGGTGAAATAAGGCAATATTGAAATAAATATTTGACAAAAGGCAGGTTTGTGTCACAAAGAGGGTATGAGCTCAGAAAAGAGAAAGAGGGTGGCGGTGATATGAGTGGGCTCAGCTTCTTACTCAGTGTTGACGTAACTAAACCGTTTAGTGCCTCCCTGTACAGGGATTTAACAGCACAGGATCTGACAACTTCTGTACTAGATAGATAGATAGATAGATGCACTGTGTAAAATGCGTCATCGTTACTTAATAACATATGAATTTGCTTCATTGAGTGGAGCTAAAAATAGTCAATTGTACATGCTACACTGAACCGAGGTCAGTCCATGTAACAGCCTCCTATTGAAATACAACCAAGAGAAAATCCATAACTGTGTGCTCAACACTGTAGGCCGAGTATTTGTTTTTCATCATAATAATATTTTGAGGTTCCACATTCATGCAGCCCAAAATTGCTCCCGTGCGGCATGATTCAGAGATGGTTTTTTCTTGGACGAAGAATACCAGAGCGGAAAGAAAATCTGTGTAATTAGATGTCCTCTGTCGTGTTTTAACACATCCTCTACTTATTGGAGACATGTGCTTTGGCTTCCCCTAATGAACTAAAGTACTTAATTAACTGGGAAATGAGAGACCGGCTGCCTACGCTCCAAATCAGCCTGGGTCCAATCCAAGAAAAAATACATTTTCAGCTGGAACGCACCTCATCGCACTGCTTATTAACAACCCGCTGTCCACACATGGAGCAGTGGAGTTATGTAGTCATAAAAACCACACTGAACACTGTGACGTAGTGAGATGTGGAGACAGACAGGGTTCGCGTCTTCTACGATCTTTTCTGAAAGAGTGACAAAGCTGCACATTCAGTGAGTTATTAACAGATTTATCGTCCCACTCAAGCTTGCGCAACAACACAAGTTTTAGGTATAAGCGGAATGGGAGTTAAGACTTCATCTTCATATCTGAGCTTTCCCACATTTGTGAGATAACAGAGGGAAGGTTAGCCGACTGCGCCCTCTCGGTTTTTCTGTGCTACAAGTGTGTTTTGAGAAAACATGTTGCAGAGATAACCCAAAGACGCTGCAGTTTGAATAGCTCCATGCACGTGGGATTCTTTACCCATTAATGAATAGAATAGATTGTGGATTCAATTTTAAACGACATATCAGCTGCCTTATACTGTGGTTGAGCAGCGTTACACTTTTTCACCAACAGGTCCAACTATGTATTTGTCACATGTGAGGTATAAAAAAGGATGTTGGGGTGCGGGGTGGGCTCACCTCTGTCCACTGCCCGTTGGTCTGCACCATGAGAATGACACACGGGTCTGACTTGTTCAGCGTGTCTCGGTCCAGCAGGGCTTTGCAAGACACACGCAGCTCTACTTTGGAGACACAGGTGGCCGGACCGCTGAGGCTGGTCGCCGGGGAGATGGCCTCCAGAACATCATTCATCCTGGCCCACAGCGAGTGGAGCTGCCGACCAGCCAAGCAGTGCAATGTGGGAGGTCCGGGGGTTGGGATTACGTTGTGCTGGATCAAGGGATTTCAGCAATGATGTGGCACGCTCACAGGAGACAGGCTCTCTTGACTTGGTGAAGATGTGGTGAAAAAGAACAGAGATTCCTGGTGAGTCCCGGGTTACCAAAGCAAACCCAATCTGCTATCACTGCCCGTCAGAGCGTTCCCCTTTGTGAGGAGTATCATCTCACCTCGGTAATGACAAGAGACAGGGCATGAAGCTGGTGGGATCGTGTTTTTCAGGAGCCCTGGCACAGGGTATTCAAGACAGTCAAATCTGGTGCTTCCTATTTTTTAATTCTCTTGATTCCATGAAAAATAGCAGCATGCGCAAAAATATCAGAAGCAGCCCCTATCTTGTTTCCTTTTTAAAATCACAAGATGAAAACGATTTTAGGAGGGGGGGGGGGGGGGATAAAGTGTAAATCAGGAATCTAGCAGACGCATGGTTGTGTGGCTTTATTGCCAACCGGATAAACTAAGAAAAGAAAATTGATTTGTTTGTGTGAGTGCTGCGTGCGTGCGTGCGTGCGTCCGCCCTGTGCCCTTGAAGGAAGGCTGCCTGAAGCTGCTCAACTGTTTTAAAGAGGAAGAAAGTCTTCTGCTTTCATTCCCCTACATCCTTCACTGTCACATTCTTCTTATTGAAAGACGCACTAACAAACGAGCGGTCGGGCTTTCAGCACCGGGGACAGCGCCCGTGTTTTGGTCTTTCGCTCCTGCTTTGCGCCCGGAAACCAGATGTTCCTCAAAAGCATCAATCTCAAACTTAACACAATAGAGCTCGAAATACAATCAGATTCAGACGCTACAAATCACATCCCAAGCTAAAGTTGTAATGTAACAGAAAACAGCTCCCGGTGATGCGAGGCGTCCTCCAGCGATGCGATCCGACAACTTAAAAATGAAGGCGGTGGAGGAAACGCTCCCAAAACGGTTCTCAATAAGATATCAATGCATAACAAATCAACTCAGTTACTAATCTGTAATCCTTGCGCATGATGTCGACCTGGCTTTTAGTTGCCTTGTTCCCAATCAGCAAAGCGTCGGACTGAACACATCTACTTTGATATCATCGTTTGTCATCGTCATACTCACTTCCGATTAGAGAACATCAGCGGCTGATGAAAAACCCGAACAACTGCTGACCATCAAGTTAAAAGCGACACAACTCACTTCCTACCTGTCGCTGTTCTTTACTCTTAAGCACACGTGTTTTAATCCTCTCCCATAACAACCTGCTTGCTTTTTCTTCTTCCCCTTTTCTCTTCTCACCGCGTGAGGAGGGAGTCGGCTCTGCTCGCGCATAAACGGGGAGTGGAGAGAGTCCAGCTGCCGGTGGAGGGAGGAGGTGGAGGAGGTGGAGGAGGTGTCGCTGGGGCTCCAATGTGGGAGTTCGATTCAAAATCGAGCATTATAAAGAGGACACAGTGCTGTGCAATGCACTGCAGGGGAATCTAACATGTATCTGGTAAATATGTGCATGGGTTTGGGATTTTCGGCACTTCCAGCAATGAATTTATGAATTGCAAACAAGTAATTGAAATGCATTTAAATCTAAGGGCGTGCAACATCTCTTACACTTTTATAAATGAAAATGGAAGTATTTGCATTTATGATCATTTTAATGTAAATTAAGAAAGATATAAATCAATTTTTTCTCCAGCTTCCATGTGTCACAATGAACATGCCTGTGTGTTTGCCTCCCATCATTACCCCTTTGGTAATGTTTATATGTTTGCATACACAATCTAAAATGAGACGTCATGGGCTCCAACATGGGAAGTGGAACCAGATGCTTGAATGATGTTCTCACTGAGATGTTATAGTTTGCCAATTCGCAATCAAAAAAGAAGACAATCCATATCGAAGACCAACTGGCCCTGGCAGGTTTTGGCAAACCTCGATGATGAGAAGAAAACAAATAGCAGGAACATCGATGACACATTTCACAGCGTAACAACAGGAACTTGGATACGGATATTTAAATGGGTTGTCCAGGAGCAGCACATCCCGACCCGATCTTCACGTGGGAGCTGCATGAGACCCTCATACTCTGCTCTCTAATCTTCTCGAAACAGACACATGCACACACATGTAGCCTCCACACGCACACGTCTAATGTCACTCACATTAAAATATGATCATGAGATGATTAACATGGGAGTTTTTTTGGACAGCGTGGCATGTTATGTAAGTATTGTTTCTTTATGCTTGAACCATCTCACAGTCCACCCACAAATGTATTATTTTCATGAATGTATTCCCAGACATTACATAACGTTTAGAGACTAAACATCAGCCCTCCAGTTTCTGCAAAACAATAGCAAAGGCCACAAAAGCCACAGTAGCTGAAGAATGGACTAAATTAACAAATTTCTTCTCCTCAGAATACAGTGTGAAACAGAAAAGAAACACTTGTTTTGACTGTTAAAGAGCACCTTGGGTGATTTAAGTGCAATTTTTATGGCCTTGAATGCTTAAAGGCTTTGAGATTTCATGATTCCTTCAGACAGAAACAACATTATTTCCATCAGAGCGTTCGTTGCATTACCACAGCCGTCTCTGTTGCGTGTGTTGAGCCATTTCAGAGGGCAAAATTAACTTGTGTGCGGGCAGGCAGGTGCATAAAATGATTCAGACAACATTTGGCTCCCTGCTTTTTAATTATCTGCTCTGTTAAGCAACTGTGCAACTTGCACACTAAGCGACACAAAGACCACATCGATTTCCCCCCACATGTAAGGGTAACTCTAACTTTCAACTAAAGCAGCAAATCCGCGCCAACACCATGAAAACAGGCTCTCTCTGACGAGGCCCTCCCCTGAAGTCATGTTCTCTGATGCAGTTTCTGATCAACCCCACTGCCTCTTCTTCCATGTGTACTGAGGGTAAGCAGGCAGTGTCTGCTTTGGGCCTCACACCTGAGTCCTCTTACGACACATCTCCAAACAACAGCCATCTGCTGCTGCTGCTGTGGTTCAGCACCTCATGGGACCATCCCTGCATTTACACATGGATCATCTATTCACATCTGCCCCGTTTCTGTCCTGTCACTGACCGCACATTGCATGTGCAATAACCCCGATGTGAGGGTCTGTTCGAATGGAAAGTCGCCCCCACATTGTTGGTATAACGTCATCGTTTCCCATCGGCTGCTCCCTCGAGGAGAAGTATTTTAACGCATAACATTTAGGTTTTTGTGTTATTTTCAAAAAAACGTTATCCATTCCAGTCTTTCCCTTTTAATGGTGATCAATCACTGGGCTTGTGTTTCATAAGACTCGACCACAAGTAACGGCTTATTGTATTTGCTGTAGTGACCTCTGTAAAAGTACAGAGATCTCCTTTCCCTTCTTACGTATAAACCTGATACACACGATACGTCACAGGAGCGTAACTGATACTGCGTACATGCAACTTCATTGATTTCAGTTGGATAGTGGAATATTTGAAAAGCAATAGCCAGATGGTGAACGTGGGACGACGGACGCAAAGGTTCAATTATCAAATGTGTTGCCCATTTGTTTTCTCTCAATTTACACGTTAATTAACCAACTCTTCTTTCCAGCTGTGCATATGTCTTCATATGTATTGGATTACCATAATCCGAACCTTATGAAAACTAACAAATTCAAACATTGAAGACACGGGTCATGTAATATTGATTGATAGTTATGTATGTTATTGTCCGACACAGGCAACTGTCATGGCTGACAATGAAATATGGGAGTGGCTATTCATTTTGGTTTAAACAAAATGTATAAGGGTTCTCAAAATCCAGTTTCCTGTTTTGTGAATGTGTAAGTACAGATTATTTGTCGGTCCCCTCAAACCGGGATGAATAGAACCATCGGCTTGAGTTTCCATTTCAGCCATATCAACCGCCCCTGATCCAAAAATCTCCCCACTGTCCACTCACCTTCATTAACTGAATTATTTATTTGTGTTCAGGCAGACAGTAAATGAGACACAGACAAGGACATTGTCTCACCCCATCCAGACTTTTTCAGTCTATGTTGACTGGGGATAATTTGTGGAAGTGGACATTTGAATTTGAATGGTTTCTCTGTGCATGTGTTAACTTAGTCATTGATCAGAATGCTATAAGAGGCTTAACATGAGCGCACTTTATAAAATGTCCAGATTCTCCATTGTCATGGTGATGCTTTGCATCACGTCTGCACATAACATCCGGTATAACTAAAGCTTATCTTTGTTCCGTAAAATAAATGCCTCTTAATTGGTATAAGTAATACGTATCAATACTTTATTCACATGCTACCTTCTATACCTGAAAAGACACTAAATCGATCCAGCAATGCACAGCTTAATAGTGCGCCAAGAACAGACACATCGGGTTGCCATCTAAAATTCACATTTTAGAAATTAACGTAGAATTTTCTTAGTCAATAAATCTTGCTGTGGTTTACTTGTATGACTCCATTGATGCAGTACATTGGGACTCTATTGCCCCCTACTGCTGCAGATATGAACCACTTAAATTAGTCTTTCAGTTCAAAACATGTCAGTCAGTGAATTTTAAAGTACGGAGAGCAGGAACAAAATGTATTTTCATCTTTTGTACCAATCACTTAAAACTTCCCTCACCGCGGTTTTAAACGTCACTATGGCATCACTGTAGTCCTTCACACCCGTGATTCTCACTGCAACAAGACCGGATCGCGCCGTAGAGGTATATTCATTTCAGGATTTAAGCCACCAGCTTTGCTCCTAAACATGTCCTAAACATTTGTCCTGAGTTGTTTTTGATGCCCCCTGTCACAGAAGTGAGGGGTAATGGCTGAGATGAACCTAAATGCCACGGATTCATTAGTTTAACGTCTGGCAGCAGGTGTGTTGGATGTTTGAGATGAACCAAACAATTTTAACACATTTATTATCTACATCGCAGTTCTGTTTACACCTTTAAAAGTTCAATACCCGATCGGCTTCATTTAATCAACATCTTGCATCTTTGACTTAAAACTAAAAGGAGTTCATATTCACAACACACATTGATCTTTTTAACGCTTTATTTTGCAAAGTTCCATAGAGACCATTTTTACTTCTTTTTTTCCACGTCCTGATCGGCAGCGTCTTTGGCTCTCTTGGCGCGGATGCCGAAGAGACGAGCATGAGCGCGGGCCATACGCAGGCTGGCGAAAGCCTTGAAGTTCTTCTCGTCCTCAGAGATAACCCGAGCCTTCTCCTTCTTGTACACCTGGGAGAACAAAAAGACGTCACGTGAGGGATTTTTCACATTATGCACAATAATCCTATATCAAACAAAATCCAGTCAACGTAATGCTGACAGACCCAAACATATTTTGAGCTCCTCCCACTATATTTTTCAGAGCAGTCATCAGAAAAAAGGGTTCAAGTGTTTCATCAAAGAAATACAGAGATTCCGGAGTTTTGTCATCATCTGACTGCATTGATGTAAAACAAAGTGTTTGTTGTCGATGGAATCTTTAAAGGAATAAAGACGTACTGTTTTGATGGGCATGACTGGACCAGTAAGCTGAGTGGCCATCTTGAGTTCCTCCTCCTGAAAAGACAGTTAAAATTCATTGAAATGAAAAAGCATCAATATTACACTGTGAGGCACATTAACATCTCTCCTTCACTCGGGCTGCTAAAAATTCTACTTATTGAAATTTCACTCCTGCCACACAAAAGATAAAACAACTCATCAACAATCACTGCAGTGTGCCACATGCTTTTCAGAATGGATGGAAGTTAAATTTCATGTTCCTCTAAACAATATGAAACAGTAACTTACAGTGCCGTCTCCCTTCTTGGGAGCAGAAGCCTTCCTGGGGAACAGGATGAGCTTGGAGCGGTACTCCTTCAGACGCTGTACGTTGGCACGTAGAGATTCTGTGGAGCGGTTGCGGCGGCGCGAGTCGACAGCAATGCCGATGGTGCGAGCGGTCTTTTTGTGGATGCCTGCTGCCTGTAGGGTGAACACAGCACCATAAGGGTTAAACTTGAGAAGACTGCAGTTTTTATTTTCCATTTTGAGTAATAAACAGCAGTCATCAGATATAAGGGTTCAAAGTATTCATCAAGAAAATACAGAGATTCCGGAGTTTTATCATCATCTGACTGCTGTAATAAGAGTATGTTATGCTAACTTATAGTGCAACTGCAAGCGTACAGCCGTGCATTGACTGCACATTTTAACCAAATAACAGCATTGACAAGGACAAACTATATGTATATAAACACACAATGAATATATTACAACCCAAAATGATTAAATACTTAATGAACTCTGATCCCAGAGTCTTTTACTTAACAGAAATATCTGTCTATTTGTGCAACCATTTAACAAGCATTTTAAGTACGTCATTTAATTTTTCTCCCAGAGCAGCTGAATACTGGGGAGGAATGGGAGGTAGTTTGGCAAGAATATCAAGTCTTTGAGCAGCTTTTTGTTTTTGAAACAGCTACGGAGTTTATCTGGTGGGTGAGCTGCATGATTCATCACAGAGTGATGGAGTTTGTTCCAATCAACAGGTCTACATGCGTTAAGTGGAATTGCTGGTAGATGTTATGAGTTTAGTTCATGCAGACATACAAACTGGTTTCTAACAGCATACACAACGATGTTAACTTACTGCTTTCCTCTGGTGTTGGATTTGAATGTATAGTTATCAAACAGTTCCCAGTATGAATGGTTAAGAGCGGCGTTGCTGATTATTTACCCCTGCATGTAATACGATCAAACAACAACTATACGGTCTTACCTTAAGTTCCTCCAGGGTGAAGCCACGTCCGGCACGGACCTTAGTGTGGTACCGGATTGTGGGACACCTGACTTGAGGCCTCAATGGACCAGCGGCTGGACGTGGAGCAACGAGACGGGCCCTGACCTGACGAGCCTTTCGCCTAAAGAAAGACATCCGCATCAAACACGCAGTACAAAACGGCTGCTTTTGGTTGGATAGTTGGGACTGTGGTTTGACTAATGTGTAAAGACTGCATGTACAACACATAATATAAACGTGTGTTCACATATCACCCTCAAAATCATGCAGTCACATCCAAGCAGGATCAGCAATCAAAACAGTTACACTGAATATATCTTCGATACTTGAGAGAAATGGCTTTAGAACCAGTTGCATAAGCTTTCTGCCTTTCAGAAAGCGCCACGTTATTTAACTAAACGAGGCATTACAATAGTTCGCGGTCCTTATCCATTTAATAATGTCAGCGTAAAGAAAATACTGGCAACGTAATACATTTGGTTCAACCAAGTCGGACATTATTTTCTCATTAACCAGTGAGTTTATCTGTTGTTCTACTGGGACGTGCGGACAGTTCTCACCTGCGGATCTTCCTGGCTGGCTGGTTGAACCAGGTGCGCACTCTTTTCTGCCAATCTTTGTGGAAGTGGGGGTTCAGGAGCATTCCATTCCGGCTGGGGGCCATGGCTGCCTACTACCCTGCAAGAAGAGCATTACACACGGACATGAGCGTCATGTCATGCCGGCGCACCGTGGTGACCCGAAGCTACAAATGCGATGCTAAGCTAGCAGGGTAGCGAGGCTAGCGGACGATTTGATAGCATTCGCGTAATTCCTGTGTGCGAGTGCTGGAACATTCTCGCACTTGCCACTTCGGTATTCGTTACGTATGCTGAATTGTATTTCATGGAACCGTATTTTAATATGGAGCCATAGTTTGGCCTCGAACAGTGTGCTAACAGTCACACACAAACATTACTCGACCGGGGATCACTAATTATACGGATGTTTTTCAGTAATTTACCAAGGAAATCTTAAGACAATAATCACCTTATTTCAAAGGTCACAACACGCTCTGTCTCAGGTTGTGATCGAAATGAATATATCCCTATACAATAACAAGGATTAGATGAGATTAAGTTTGAAAATGTGGAGAAAAAATATCGTACCTTGTAGGGAGGAAAATGGCCGAAAGGAAAAAGGAAGTCGCAAAGCGGTGGATTGTGGGATATCCGACCAACAGCCAATGACCGTAGAGAAGTGAACAAAGAGTATATAAGTGAGGATTAACCCCTCAGAACATCGGCTCAAAAGTAAGACGTATCTAACAATAGGAAGTATACAATTAAATCCTTTTGATAGAAATCTATACTCTGAAAATCTATATATCCCCTCTATTAGACGTCCTTTGATGACGTATCTTAATTAATATGCAGTGCACACCTGCTTGAAGACGTTCTGACATTATGTTTTTTATGCATTCACAATGATGAACTTATGTATTTTTAGTTAAATGTTCCATGGAAATATTTCACGATTTCGCCATTTTGTGTTTATAGTACATTAATGATTTAGAGTTCAAAAGTTGCATTTCCAATTGCAGGAGGAGGTTTTTGCACTGGCCACAAGGTGTGGTGCTCGCGCCCACAATGAGCAGTAGTCTCGATTACTGGCAGTTTAACGGCTTCCAATTACACTACCAATGATCTCTTTGTGCCACCCAGTATACAAAGAAAATTACTCCATGGGGGATGGGATACCTGAGATAAATATTAAATATAAATAAAACTAGTCATTTCTATTGTTTAAATATTATTTAAGGACTAAATTACTAAAATATATTCAAAAATACATGTATGATGTGTATCATGTTTTTGGAAGGTCGGAGTGGGGAGGATTAACATATCTATAACCCAGTTTCTCAAAACCCATCCATGAAGCAATGACATATAGTGAACAAACTTGTATTATGTGATTGGATTGATGACCAGATGCAGAAAACATTCCTTTGGATGTTAATTAAGAGCATGAATCAGAAGAGGACAGCACTGACATGGGGTGACAAATTGCTTTTGTGCGGCACACTACTGCCGGGGCCATAGTTTATTCAAAGTTATTAAGATTTAATGATAAAGCTCATGGCACAATCCGCAGAAAGATGTAATAAAGGTCATCTGCAAGATGAGAGAATGTTTACTCATTTCTTGCTAATCTCATGAGACATTTTTCTGTTTGCTTTGTCCATGCTCATGCCTGTCCGAAATAAGTATCTTCAAGAGTCATTCAATAAGACATTCAAAAAGATAATTATAAGCTACTAAATTGAGTTTAAGAAAAAAAAAACATTTAATTGGTTGTTATATGCTTCTGTTTTTGTTATTTGGGGCAAGGTTTCAGGTGGAGACAAGTCAAGCTGGATTGTACTCAAATAGGTCATTCTCTTTAGGGACAAGCCACAAGTTATGAAGGCAATTTGTACAAAAAGTAAAAATATCTGTCTTACAGTATTTCCCTCAAAATGTTATGAAATTACTGGAAATACTTTTTCCAGTAATACTCAATTTGAGCAAATTACTGCTCTTGTTTTTTGTTCACTGGTTCATTAATCATTGAACAACTGCAACCTCTGCCATTCTTCACACAGGGCAAAGGTCCTGGTGTGTGGAGCTCTATCGGGCAGAAAGAAGCAGCACAATGTGAACACGTCCACAGCTCGTCAGAAACTCTGCACGACCTTCTGCTGAAGCTGAAGTTGCATTGTTCTTCTCTGCGAGTTTGTGTCATTGTGACACCAAAGGGATCTCAACACAATGCTTCAACTTTAGAGTTGGAAGTAGGTTTTCAGACCAGGGGGGGGAATATAAATATAAAATTAGATAATATAGAAAAATTAAAGAATCACACGGGAGAGAGGACCAAACTTTATTAAATGAATGTGACAAAGCTCTTACAATCACTTTTTTCCACGTTTGTGCACATGTACCGATACATTAGAAACAAGCGTAGCCACAGATCTGGAGATTAAGAGCCCTTTTGTTGGGCTGGTGGCCAAACAGATCCTAACCTTAGGAGGTTACTGAGAATTTCTTTTTCATTATTTTGATAACACAAATTTCAGTACCAAAATAAATAATTTTCGCACAAGATGTTAGTAATCCTGCCTACTAATCTTTGATTGCAGTTACATTATAAAAACAGCAGAGTGGAGTTTGTCCATTTATTCTTCAAGTGACTTAATAAATGTATCATATGCAGCTTGATCCATGAGGCCGTCGAGTTCTGCAGGCTGTTCCATCGTCATCTTGATAAGCCACCCTGAAAAGATTTTCTTTTTTTTTAATGCGCTCATGAACCCGTTCTAGTTTGCCAACTTTTCAGCTATCTTGGCAACAAATGTGCTGAGAGAAATGTTCTAGAGCAGAAAGACCGCCTGCGAGACGCTTACCCTCCTCATAACAGGCTTTATTCACAAGTCCAGGATTGTCTGCCAGCGCTGTGTTGATTTCAGTCACTTCGCCTGCCAGGGGTGAGTACAGCTCACTGGCCGCCTTTACGCTTTCCAAGGCCCCAAACTCCTCTACAACACACACACACACACACACACACACACACACACACACACACACCACACACACGCGTCTCATCTCTGCAATTACTTTCAGAAATGTGCCGTGTATTGAAGGTTCTTACCCAACTGTTCAAGTCTTTGGCCAACTTCAGGGAGTCCACAGTACACCACGTCACCTAATGCCTCCTAACATGATAGAACAATATTTTTATAAAAAAAAGAAGAGAAGTATGTAAAGGGAGTAAAAAATAAGTAAACCAAGAAAGTCTTGCATACCATTCTGCACTGTAAAACAGCATTAGGCTGTTTCCACAAAGATGCGAATGGGTCGCAAATACACAGCTGAGCATTGTAGCCATTTAGCAAATATCACTCGACAACCTGTGTAATTTCTAACAAAGAGCAGCGAATCGCATTCCGCGTGATCAATACTTTTGAAGCAGAGAGACTGGGATGGCGATTCTTAAATATGCCGTCACAGACTGATACATTGTACTTGGCCATCGGAAATGAACTGGGAAGTAGCACAGCTGATTGGGGAATTGGAAGCTTTTGCACTCAAATATGGTGAGTAGCGCAACGTACTCTACTCGGTGATGGGAATGTGCTGGGATTAATCTGTCTGAGCACGGCTCCCCCCACAAAAATAAACTTAAGAGTCAAAATGTTCTCTTTAGAGACGTTTCTGGCTTTACAGCAAGCCGTCTAAGATAAGGAAGCTATTAAAAGACTCGTTGAAGATTCAGCAAACTTGAAAGCTTTAAAAGAACTGCAGAACACTGACGTGGACATTTTTATACTTTTAGCTTCATATTTTCAATACCCACAAAAACTACTAGTAGCCTGAAGCTTTCCTTGCTCATTGGCTCCAATAGGCTGCAGACGTTTTTTTATTCAAAGTCCAGCAAAAAAGATAAAAGTTCAACACGCCATCACATTTCTGCTCAAAGTTCATATAACAAAGTTCAATAAAGTCCACACTGCTGAGAAATAATCACATTCACAGCAGTTAAAAACCACAGTTTATTTAACGCAATTGTGATACGAGGGCAAATGAATATGAACTGAGGCAGATATACACCACATTGTGGACCCGTCTGAAAACATTCCCTATGATATTAAGCTTATCTACCAGAGTATCTGAGAACATCAGAGCTGCCGCTGCGAGCCGGTCTTGATCAAAGAGACTTTTAATATTTGACCGTACAAATAATTCCTTCCCCAGATATTACATTTGCAATGACAGCAGACAGCCGTCATTTAGAGTTTTGAACGTCCTTGATTTTCTGCACAATCAATTGACTTAAATAATCGTCATAAAGCAGTAGATAAGTTTCTTGTAGTACATTTGCTGCAGTTGAGGACGAAGGGCAGGTCTGAACTGCAGCCATCAGAGTAGCACTATCTTTGCTAGATTGCCCTCTGTGAAACTGTGAACCGATTGTGTCATAAACCAAAGATTATCAACAACCTACAACAACATTATCAACAACCTACCTGAGCATAATTGCTAATACCAACGGTGACGGTTCCACTCTCCACTCGCACCCACTCGTGCTTTTCTGTGAACTTTAAGGCTGCAGAGAGAACAAAGGGAATCATTTAGCGTCGGACGGCACCTTTCAAACCCAACGCAAAACTACCAATAGCATGTGTGACATACATGTGTGAGGAGCAAAGTGAAGGCAAAGAGAATCTTACTGTACTATGGCCAAAAGAGGAAGAGAGGGTCCTTTCTTATCTAACAACATGTTTAACTTCGAAAAAAAATGTACAAGTCGAAATTCTCATAGTTTGGGTTCCTGCCCAATTGATAGATAACAAGTTGTTATCTGGATCGTTCTGCAATCAGCAAGTAAAATAAAATCTGGAGTAAGTATGCTTTTATCCTACCCTCCTGCTGTCACCTTCACAATACCCTGAGGCAAGAATCACAATTTCTCTTGGCATCCGACCATGCACACAAAGACCGGTTTGAACCAGATTGAACTCGACAAGACGTTGGCGCATGACGGAGGAGAGAAGACTGCAGCTGTAAGGCAGAGGTGTCAAAAGTATTCATATTCATTACTCAAGTAGAAGTACAGATACTAGGGTTTAAAAAGACTCCTGTAGAAATACACAAAAGTATCGACTCAAGCTTTTTACTTAAGTAAAAGTATAAAAGTACCAGTTTCAAAACTACTTAAAGTATAAAAGTAAAAGTAATGTAAGAAATTCCATTAAGGACAAACTCTTAACGTGTAACCTCGCTCACACAACACGTCCGTTCGTTACAATGTGATCAGAAGGTGTCGGCAGATCACGTGACCTGCCGTTGGGATGGTAGAAACATGGCGACATTCAAAGAGACAACAACAAAACAACTAATGTATCTAATTAACTTAAACAGATAAAACCACAACCCATTTTCCAGTGACACGAGTCACACACACGTTGTTCGCATTGATTCGGTAGACTGCAGTGTCTCCCCCAGGTTCAATGGGGTGGGGGTCTGACTTTTTACGGGGTGGGGGTCGCACCCCTGTTTATAATGATGGGAAACACTGAACTGGCAGCGGTCGGTTATCAAAACATTGGCCAAATAACCAGTATTTTCAGGCTTCATGAGCAAATACAGAATCCCCGTGCGTTCATTTCCAAAGCCGCATTAAGACACACATCACTTTATTGAATACGCTGCTTGCAAGTCGCTGTGTTGTGCCAGACTCAATAAAACATTTAGGACAAACCCACGGTCATGAAGATACACATTTAACGTTACATGGAATCTGCGTGAAGAAGAGGAGGAGGAAGAGGATCCATGTCGCTAAATACCAACTTTCCACCGACCACTTTTCCCAGCCGGTGTCGCTCCGATCTGCCGGCGCATCGCGGAGAAACACACCACAATCAAATGCACTCTGTCCGCATAGCGCCATTGGGTTTTTTGTGTTTGTGTTTTTGAACTGCGACAAGCCGGAAGTAACAAGGCTGTTTTTAGGATGTAAGGAGTAGAAAGTACAGATATTAAGCGTTATTATGCGTAATATATGCGTGAAAATGTTAAGAGTAGAAGTAAAAAGTCGTCTGAAAAATAAATACTCCAGTAAAGTATAGATACCCAAAAGTACAGTAACGAAGTATTTGTACTTCGTTACTTGACACCTCTGCTGTAATGTCGGATGGAGCGCACAGCTTTCTAAATATCACTATGAGGACAAACAAGGGCTTTCACATTTCACACACGGGTTGGACGAATATTTGAAAGCAACAAGGTGGGGAAAGTACTGAAATTGAGATATTGGACCACATGTGGGTCTGCACACGCAGGGCTTATGTGTGGCATGAATACATGAAGTCACTTGGTGGCCAAACTTGTATTAGACAATATTTTACAGACTGGTCTTGAACTTGTGGCGGACTATGTAGCCCAAACCTTGGGGTGGGCGGAACTGCTGTGCACAACGAGGAGTGGACAATTGTAAACTGAAAAAAAGAAGAAAAAAGCACTTGCTGATGCTTGGGAAATAATATCAAGAGAATCCGATTCACTTTTAAGATAAAACATTTCGCAGAAAAGTCAAACGATAACAACAAATCTTTCTTTGGTGCGACCCGATACCAAATGGCCCACGGACCGGTACCGGTTCCGCGGCCCGGTGGTTGGGGGACCTCTAATTTAGTGCACAACACAGAGCAAATTCGGAGGTCGGGATTTGGCTGCCCCCCCAACAAAAACAAAAAAAAAACTCAACACGCGGCTGCTAAGTCCTCTCGTGCTTGACAGCAACTTCCGAGTTAAAACAACAACAACAACAACAACAACTTGTCTCCTCCGGTCCGAGAGGAAGCAACAAACTGCGTGAGTTGTTTTGCACCATTACGGACGCAACGTTACAGGAATGTGCGACCGGCGCAGCTCGCGTGTTAGTACGTAACATCCCGGCTCTGCTGGTGCGCTTTGTTTATGTATTTGTGTTGTTTATTTACCTGCGGACAGCACCGAGGTCGTGCCGTGCGCCCTCGTGCAGTCGCCGCTCCACGGCAACAGAGTCCGCGCGGCCGAGCGGAGCTGAGGAGGTCTGCGAGGAAAGTTTGCAGAGAGGCACCGCAGAGCCACTCGCATCGCCATCTTCTGTCAGTGTGTGCGTGCGTGGGTGTGCGTGCGTACGTCCGGCCTCGGGTGCACTTGCGTTTGACGCGGGAGCGCGCACCATCCGGGAAGTTCACCTCGGGTTAAAATGCGACTTTTGGGTCTCGCCCCAGTGATCAAAGGAGGGGAACACACCGCCGGGGGGCGAGTTCACAGCTCAGGCCTCTTACAAGTAAAGCTTTTGCAATCAAAAAGATTTGAGGAGCAGGACAAAATGGCTACTTAAAGTACAAACATAAAAGAGGTGCCCTTTTCAGACCGTTTAATTGTAATACTGAATCATTATAAATGCATTTACATCGGAGAATGTTAATGTTGTGGGTGCTCGAGGTATACCCAAGAAATGTATACAAATAGTTTTATTATGAGAGGATCCATGTTTTTTATGTAGAATCTAGATGTGTAAAGAAGCTGTCAAATAAAGGTTCCTTCTGAAATCTAGTGAGAGAGAAAATAATTTGAAGAAAATCTTTATCAGTATGACAAAACTTTAGTACAGTAATTGAGCAATTTCTCCCTTGCAAAAAGATTGCTTTGAAAACACAATGGTGAGACATTACCTTGCTTCAAATACCTGAATACAATTTCAAGGCTGATCCCAAAGGCGATGAATTCATTCAAGTACTGGAGTAAAATGTGATGTTCACTCAGACTCCCTTAAGGGTTGTTCAGCCTTTAGCGCCGATTTGGGTTTAGGGATCGGATTGGGAAATACTGCGGGGCGCAAAATAATGGGCTCAGTAACTTTCAAATAAACAGAACAGTAATTGTGGGAAATAAAATCATTGCAACATGAAATTTGACAATACACATGAGATGTGTGTAGTTTTTTTTAAAATAAGCATCTCTCATTACATTTAAAAATTAAAGTTTTCAGAAGCCGAACGAAAACCAACTTGTTTGCCAGCATTTTATTACGATTGTGTGCTTTATTTTCTTGCATCACTCACGATGTTGTAATGTTGGTGCTTTTTCCTCCCAAGCACTAAATAACAGTCTTTAATTCATGTAGATGATTATTCAAATATTGTTTATGTACAGAACAGAACAGACTGGTTATCGTTGATGCTACTTTTGGATTTTGGATTCTGTGAGCCTTAAACCCAACAATATAATCATATTCTGTAACCTTCTAAAATGCAGTGAATGTTGTAGTGTAAACTGACCAAAAAACCACGAGACAAACAACAACTATTCATTCGGAATTTATTTTGTCAGCCATGTTTTAATTTCTGTGCAGAGGAATATTGACTTGGTGTTCGGCCCAAGAAGTCTCAGAACTTTCTCATACAAGCAGACCTGATAAAACAGACGAACATCTTGAGCTTTAACATGTCGTGTATCTACTCTGCCAGAATTAAGCATACTGTGAAATATCTCAATCATTTAAAAAATATTTCAGGTTTACATAACAACAGCAGATCACACATGACTGACATTGATAAAACAAAAGAACCTGCTGGCCCCACTGGTGACCACGGGGGGGGGGGAAGGCTCCTCCCCCACAGAGCCGATAGTAGGAGCCGTCGCGGCGTTAGACGGAGGTGCCCTCTGTAGGCGCCGCCTTGTTTTCGTCAGGCTTCATAGCAGGGAAGAGCAGCACCTCCTGCAAGAGGAGAAAACGGTCACCTTACGAGGTTTAAACTCCTACAGCTCCCACGTCCTGTCTGACAGATGTTGGCAGCTCAAGTTCTGTGGACGTCATCTCTTTGACGCCTTGTTCTTTGTATCCCTTCTATCACAGGTTTTTCCGTCCGAGCAGAGCCTCGTGTGTGCTGTATTTTTTTTGTTTTGTTGTGGTGCTGAAAATGACTGCCGGCGTCATGATTCACTCGATAGCTTTACCTTCATGTTGTTGGAGTCGGTGAGGAACATGGCGAGGCGATCGATGCCCATCCCCCAGCCGGCAGTCGGTGGCAGTCCATATTCAAGAGCTGTGCAGAAGCTCTCATCAATGAACATGGCCTCATCGTCGCCCTCTGCCTTCGCCTGAAAGGGAGCCACCGCAAAAATGTTTACCACGAATCATCATATTTACTCACGCTGTAACCATACAGAGCTGGAACTTTTTGTAAGTCCAAAGAATAAGTAGGAAAAATATATATATTTATACTTCTATACACACACCATTGCCTGCTGCTCAAAAAGCTCCCGCTGTCTAATTGGATCATTCAACTCAGTGTAAGCATTGCAGACTTCCTTCTTCATCATAAAGAGCTCAAAGCGCTCCGTGAGGCCTTTCTGTGTTCTGTGCCTGTAAAAGATGAGAAAGGGTCACTATAAACCGGAGCATTAGAACTTTGAGGTTGAAACAAGGCGCTTCTCACCCTTTTGCTAAGGGACTCATGATTTGAGGGTGTTCACAGATGAATGTGGGGTTGATACAGGTGACCTCAAGGAAATCTCCAACCAACTGTAAGGGGGGAAATGTCTTAGTAAAGACCTCATGCTCAAAGAAGGCCACTACAGATGCCGATGTTCATGGAGGGAGCACCTTGTCGAGGAGGCGGGCCGTGGTTCTGGGTTGTGGACACTCGACTCCTTTCTGTGCACACAGGTTGTCAAAGAACTTGCGCGTCTCTGAAGAGTGTAAGAGAAACATGAAGGGAAATCTGCTGTTAGAATGAAAACATTTGAAATATAGAAGCATTTTTATTAATGACAGAGAAGGAGGATGTCACAGAAACAAAAGGTTTCTCTCACAGTGGTCTTTTTACAGACTCTCACCGTCGCTGTCGTAGCTGTCGGTGGGAGGGAACTTCACTCCCATGACCTTCTCCAGGTCTTGTGTCATGCTCACTCTCCTGAATGGCGGTGTGAAGTCAATCTCCTGTGCCGGCCCCTCTGGACCGTCAGGGTGATACGTCACCTTGTATCCTCCAGTGATGTGCTTCACCATTCCTGAAGTAAAGAGGGCAGCGTTGAGTTAACTAGCGCACTTCCTCTTTTTGTTCAGAGGAAACCTTCCTGTGCCACATCTGAGAAGACTGAAAGGAAACGGTGCCCCATCACCAGAGGTGTCAAAAGTATTCACATTCATTACTCAAGTAGAAGTACAGATACTAGGCTTTAAAAAGACTCCTGTAGAAGTTGAAGTATCGACTCAAGCTTTTCACTTAAGTAAAGTACTTGTTTCAAAACTAGTTAAAAGTATAAAAGTAATTAAGAAATTCCATTAAGGACAAACGCTTAATGCACAACCTCGCTCAAACAACACGTCAGTCCGTTACAATGTGATCAGAAGGTGCCTGCAGATCACGTGACCTGTCGTTGGGATGGTGGAAACATGGCGATATCATAGATCATGGGGGGGTGGTCTGACTTCCTACGGGGTGGGGGTCGCACCCCTGTTTATAATGATGGGAAACACTGAACTGAACAGCGGTCGGTTATCAAAACATTGGCCAAATAACCAGTATTTTCAGGCTTCATGAGCAAATACAGAATCCCCGTGCGTTCATTTCCAAAGCCGCATTAAGACACACATCACTTTATTGAATATGCTGCTTGCAAGTCGCTGTGTTGTGCCAGACTCAATAAAACATTTAGGACGAACCACGGTACTCATTTAACGTGGCATGGAATCTGCGTGAGGAAGAGGAAGAGGGTCCATGTCGCTAAATACCAACTTTCCACCGACCAGTTTTCCCACCCGGTGTCGCTCCGATCTGCCGGCGCATCGCGGAGAAAACCAATCGGGTGTCTGGAGGCTAAATGTTTATACTTCTCATCCAACCACAATCACATTCTCTGTCCGGATAGCACGATTTGTCTAGATGGGTTTTTTTGTGTTTGTGTTTTTGAACTGCGACAAGCAGTAGAGTAGAAAGTACAGATATTTGCGTGAAAATGTAAGGAGTAGAAGTATAGATACCCAAAATTTCTACTTAACTACAGTAACAAAGTATTTGTACTTCGTTACTTGACACCTCTGCCTATAACATATATAAAATGGCTCATCATTTGAAAAGCTGATTATTGGCTTCATAGTTGAAGCACATTTTTTGTAACCCAAATAGACAATTTACTGTCAGGAGACAAATAAGAAGAACAAATATGTCATCTGAGCAGACCGCTTCATGCTTTGAGTTTCATTTAACTGAAAGCTAGGATGAGAAAGGAGAGAATGCCATGGCGACGACTATTGTCGCATGTCGAAGGCAAACCAAACAAGTCAGATCTTAACAAGACAGATGAATTTCTGGCTAATCAACATCTTGGATGTTTTTCATTCGTATGTCAGCTTGTTAAACTATTTCTCACTATGCCAGCTAACTATGTTTTACTTACCTGAGAGTAGCTTCTCTGTGATCTCCATCAAATCGTGGTAATCGGCATACGCCATGTAGAACTCACAGGTGGTGAACTCTGGATTGTGAGTAAGATCGATGCCTTCATTCCTGAACTGACGACCAATCTCATACACTCGGTCCAGTCCGCCAACCACGAGCATCTGAGTGAAAAGTTTGATATGCAGAATTAATATTCTGACATGAGGTTAAGGTCTACAATGAAAGAAGGTAATTTTCAGAACAAATTAACATATATGGAAGTAAATAATTAGTGAGACGGAGGGTTCCTGAAAGTGATGAAGACATGAAGAGCAGATTACCTTGTGGTAGAGCTCCGGTGCGATTCGCATGAACAGGTTCATGTCCAGCTCATTGTGGTGAGTAACAAACGGACGAGCCACTGCTCCACCGGGAATAATGTTCATCATAGGGGTCTCGATCTAAAGTAACAGCAAACGCGTTTAGGCAAGGCTACAATGATTCTACGTTCCTTAAATCTGGAACAAATCTACAAACTATTGAGTCTTTAGCTCATAGAAAGATAAAATACAATTTAAATTCATTAGTTGTGTGACAATGTCCAATTTGATGTCATAATAAAACTACAGATGGCAACTCTTACCTCCAAAAATCCCAGCTGGTCCAGGAAACTGCGCAGGTATGTGATGATTTTGGAGCGAGTTATGAACTTTTGCCTCACGTAGTCATTGAGAATCAGATCCAAATAGCGCTGGCGGAAACGTGTTTCCTTTGACAGAAAGATTACACAGTGGTGCAAAAAATGCTTAATCGTTGGTCATTACTAAGCCTGTCGCGATGATAAATATATTGACATACTTTATTATTTGCGGTGCTGGGATATATTATATTCATTTGACATATCGGCTGGAACGGTGCGCCTTTCCGGTGAACATTTTCTCGAACCCTACCGCATCGCACCAAGCCCGACGCTTTCGCAATTCATTTTGGTGCAACAATCGCACAACAAAAAGTAGTTATCTTGACCTCTTCATTGCCGTTGTCTCGACTGGTGACCTCGTCCTCTCCCTTTCAACACAGGCCATTACGAGCAAGTTCAGTATTCTAACATAAGTTTGAACAATGAGAAATCTTGATTTTTCACTTGTAAAAAAAAGAAAAGAAAAAATAATTCAATTAAAATTATAGCAGAGGTGAATTTGGAATTATTTCAAAATAACACCTCGTTCAAATCTTCTTTCTCCGTAGAGACCAGAAAGAAGAATCTCATGTTCTAATCTGACCGTTTGTGTAAAAGCCACAAACCTTTCAGGTTGCAGGAGATAAACAGGAATCTTTAAGCACATCGTAATAATCAAATGTTGTCGTTTATGAGAACTTCTAACATTAATTATCGCTTTACTCCCTTGTCCGTTTCCCGGTATTGCATGTGCAATAGAGGATTTACTTGGAATCATATCACTCCATGTGCAAGTCACTAAACTGCCTCCTCTTCCGGTAGCAACAGTCGGTGTCATTGGTTGTTCACTAAATTGGTAACTAATCACAATGGGCGTTACCTTGTCTTTGAGGCCAAAGTGGAGGTGGGGCAACATGTGCAAACATGGCGATAGCAGGGTCATCTCGATGGGAATGATGCTCAATTCTCCTTTTTTTGTCTTCCCTGGGTTGCCGCGGACACCGATGATATCGCCACGACGCAGTTTGTTGTTGATTGCCGCAAAGGCCTCTTCAGACTTGTAGGTCCTGACACAGTTGGAAGAAATATGCAGAAATTAAATCACTGGAGGCTTAATCTTCCGAGAGGTTTTATATATTTTCTTCTTTCTGTTTAACTTAAACACTCTGTGCAGCTCTTCATCGGTCTGCAGTCATGATGCCTATAACATTATGTATTTTGACCACGGCTATCATTCCGTACTTTGAGTTTGCCATGACTTGCAACTTGACGCCTTCTCCTCGCAGGTCGTAGAAAATGAGCTTGGCACCAGAAGCCCTCTTGGCATGGACGCGGCCTGTAAGTCAAATGACATGATCGATAGGGCATCTACTGCTGGAGCGCTGGCAAAATGGAAAATAGTAATGTACGATCTCAAACCACTCCTGGTACCTGAGACATTGAGAACAACGTCCGTCAGCTGATCTCCAGGCTGCAGGTTACTGTATTTCTCGATGAACCCCGTGAGCGAGAGGTCGACGTGATACTTGTGGGGGTACGGGTCCTCCGCGGTGCCCTTCAGTTCCTGGATGGCCTGGGTGCGGATCTTGTAGTATTGCTATGGGAGAGGGGAAAATATTATATTATACAAAAAGATAGAAACGTTTAGTAATAAACATGTAAAATTCAGGTTTATAGTCAACAAGAATCTCACATTTGGGTCGAGCGTCTCCTCATCCAATGCACAGGCATTTTGCGCTCCTTGGTCGTTGGATTCTTTCTTTTGGTCCAACTGCTCTTTGATCTTGGCTTCTTTTTCGGCCACCTTCTTGTCGGCTTTCATTCGTCTCTTCAGCTCACTGATGAGAAAGAGGAAACAAAGACGAGTTATGCATCGACATAAAACCGCTTGGATGTTCAAACGGTTTAACATGTAGGAGCACACAAACATCATATTTCCAACATAACACTGTACGTTTACGCCAGTTAACCAATAACGGAGACAAACGCAAACGCAGAAAGGGAAAGGGGATCACATTGTCTCTGATGACAAAAGGTTGGTCGTGTTTCTCATTGGAATGGAAATCCACCAACCTTTTGTCACCTCTCCAACGGATCCCGTAAATATGAGCCGAGACTGCTTCTGCACACGGGGCAGCACATTTTAACCACTGCCCCCTGACCCCACAGGCCTGGCACAGCTGCTGCCCGGCTGCCCTGACCAGACACAGCATGCTGAGCTGCGGCGGTCAGCGGACAGACCTGAGGACACACACACACACACAGAACGTCTGTGGCCGGAGACGCGGTGTGGACAACTGTGGAGAGACACGGACCTTCGCCAGAGCACAAATATAGAGACAAAGGAGGTAAAACAGTTGGGGAAGTGGGGAAGGAAAGCTGAAGGACGACACTATATTTTAATTCAGATTAGTTTTCCTTTCCCTTTTAGCTGGGGCGAGACACAGAAAGTAAATGTGTGACTGCCAGAGAGTAAAGTCAACGAAGGACAACACGGTTAACGTTAGCATAGTTTTAATTGAGCATTGTCGGGATGGCTTCGTACCCTTAGCATACTACAACAAGGTGCTCTGCCCGAGTCAAATTATTCAATATATTCTACGTTAAGATTAATAGCGAACGCAAGGGAAATATAGCAAACGATTTCACGACAGACATGAGGAGAACGTTTCTTGATTCTGTGGATCTTGTAGTTTTACCGATTAGAAAAGGTCACTATGGTGATAGGCTTCCGCGCATTTCCAGGACTACAAGTCCCAGATACAGTTACCGAACTGAACCCTGGGATGTGTAGGCATTCACTGTGTCAGGAGCGTGGACGTAACCCTCACTTGGGTATCACGTTGTTACCTGATGCAACACTCAATGGTATTTCACAGCCAAGTTGAAACGGTCAAAACTGCTGAACAACAACATAATCGCTATAATTGCCACCACGCAAAGAGTTAACACGTAACGGAAGAAAATTATAAGCTCACTTTTTGCTGAGTTTCTCTCCGTCCGGCGTCGTTACGTCGGCCATGTTGAAGCTGCTGCGCGCTGAGAGAGCAAATCACGTGAACGCGTCGCAAAAACGCGAGAACTTGAAGTTGCGTTTGTGTTTCGTTGACTGTCGGAAATCAGTAAACGCAACACAGAGAGAGAGAGACACACATAAACTGCAATTGAATTCAAACATATCGACATTATCACGAATAGAATGTCTTGTGGTATGGAGGTTGTAATTTGTTTGTGTCCAGATCCAGGTACCCGGATACAATATATATATATATTTTTGTATGTGGGTCCTCTCCGGTTACTGTGGCGTCCCCCCTCGCTCCAAAGACATGCAGGTCAGCTTTTTTGGTGACTCTATGGCTGTCGGGTGTGTAAATGTGAGAGAAAGGAGAAAGGTTCAGGGTGTACCCGGTCTCTTGACTAATGTTAACTGGGATGGACCCCCCCCCCCGAGAATAAGTGGTGTAGAAGATGATTGACTGACCCTTCTTAAGTGCCGTAATGTATCAAGTGGGCAATTCATGTGGCTATTAAGGCCTTATGCAGTAAAAATGTGTCACAACTTAAAATCCAACACAAACCGAAGAGTTTCTCAGCTCTAATGATTGACAACAGACTACTTTACTTTTTCTTTTGTCTGTGTGAGGCAAAGTACAGGAGGCAAAGCAAAAACAGAATTGATTGGTTGTTGATCAGAATTAGATGACTTCTTTCAAAACATTTTTTGATGCATTCCCAAAGTTGTTTTTTTTGGCATTTAGCACAAGAAGAGTCAATGGGATAACACTTCAAGAATATAGATTAGAAAGAGTTGTAGACAAGCTGTAACAAAGTGGGTGAATTTGATCAGCTCAGAGCACATATGAGCGTGTCAGAGCAGGTGCTTCTGCACAGTATCAACTAAAATATTTCTACACATATTTCTGAATCCATACATGCTCATCATATAGCCATGCATGTGCATAACTTACACCAAAAACCTAAAATAAAAACTCAGTGGCCTAAAATTTATAGAATGTATATTTAATATAGATAGCAGCAAATTTACAAAAATATAGATGAAAGATGATTAAAAACAACAAAAGGTTTTTTTCCCCTCCAAGATTGATAATTTGACAGATGTTCATAAAGAACAAAATTCCCTCAATGCTATTTCCAGGACCTGAGAGAAATCAGAAATATTAGAACACACTGTACCTGCAAACACAAAGCCTGGATCCACAGAAACTCTACAAGCAAGGAGGTGTGAACAGAAAACATCGGGGACCCTTGTTTCTCACACACACGCACACGTTATCGAAAAGAGAAATTTGCATTTGAACTGACTAAACATTTAAAATCAGTTTCAGGCAACAATTTAAAGCAAAGAAGATAATACGACAAGCAACATAAATAATAGAAAGAACTTCTACTTTAGTTTCTCCTTCATGCTGAAAACAGGAGATGCTATTTAGAAAAATATATATTCAAAAACAGATCTACATTTACAGTATATTAGCTGCATAGCAGTTTCAGGGAAAATTAGTCTGCATGTACGTTGTTTAACATAAATGCGATGGATACTTCAGTACGAACAAGTTAGATGTGTGACAGAAATTTCACCACATGTTTATCAACCAAAACCACATTAGCTGGTCACTCTTGTCAAGCTTTATGGCCTATACCATTTTAGTTAATGAGGACTATTCATCCCTGGCAAAACATCTGGTCGCTTCTGCATCACCTCCTCAAGGCACGTGTAGGTGTTTATCTACAGGTGTCTATGGTGACATTTTAGGGAGTGTGGGGGACTGAACATCTTTTATTGCTGTTTAATGGTGTTAATATTAAATCAATAGGTGATGTTAAAATTAAACCACATATTATACTGTAAGAAGGAGAAATTCAGTATGTAGCATCTAGTACTTTAGTAGTTAGTAGTGACTGTATAATTGGTCTCTCCTTTATATATTTCTGATCTCCAGTTACATTGCAAATACACAAATGAGGAAACTGTAATTTCCAAAAAGTAATTACCTCCACACTATGTGCATAAAAGTTCAATTACAGGCAGGCTGCATGTTCACAGTCAGTTCTATATCATTGTAAAAATACTGAAATTTGTAGGTCCGGTTTCGAGGGATTAAAACTAAAACGCAATTACCACAAGGCCGGGGGTCAGATCACGAGCCTTGAGCAAGAACATGATAAGTACATTAAGGTGTGTATTTACAAAATCTCCAAAAGATAACAGTGCACAGGAATGTATTTGTGTAAATCACCTCATTTAAATGCATCGCCACCATCTTCCCAAAGAGGAAGTTACAGAATCAGCAGTAGCAGGAGACCAAATAACATCGCCGTTATCAATGCAGAAAATATCTCCACAAAACTGAAAAAGGAAAACAATAAAGAACACCAACATAAATTAGACATGACTCTCCAATGACAGAGGCTGGTACTACACAGATTAAAATAAACAAAAACATCAAAACCTTGTAAAAAAAAAAAAAAAAGAAATAACATCATAAATACTCAAAACGGGGAAATCTTATTTCTTCTATTTCACAAGTTGAAGAAAGCCGATCACAGATGGCTCTTCCCTCCAACGTCAGGTTTCCTTCAGGATTTGGGTCCTTTTAAAGAGCATTCTCTTACGCTGTAGTTCCTCAAATCACATTGGTCAAGTTTATCTCCATCATTAAACAGCGGTTTCTGAATTTGAAGTGTATGACATGTAACGTGCGCTTGTGTTTCTGCCAATCTGAACGTAGAAAACAAGACAACGACTGAGACGTCAAACCGAGCTAATTCATCATCCGACACCGGCCCCTCGTTCATGCACACACTTACAGTGACACAAACGTGTTTTCTTTCCTAAAACCACACAACAACAAACAAGAAGAAAGTGTGGCAGCAGGACATTGTGACTGATAATGAAACCATCTTATGTTTCTCATGAGAAATTAAAGAAAAGTAAAAGCTCACGAGCCATAAAACTGGCCTGTCATCAGGTCTGCAAAGCGAGATTTGAGTGAAACTTTGGTCCTGAAGCCACTGGCCGACGCCAGAGGACAGCGTTTATAAGAAAACATGTGAAAGGGGTTCCTGCATGTAAATACCAAAACCTGGATGAGATGTATGACGTACAGTTTGTTTCTCCTCTACATTCACTGTTGATTTAAGAATAGTAATCCTCCTAATCCTAATCATGTGTGTCTGACGCACAATGATATCTGAAAAATGACACTAAAACACATGTTAACAGAATACTATATTATATTCTACTCTCTCTGCTGTGGATATGTTACATTAAAAAGTTATATGTAGACTGAAATAAGATTATTTGAGTCCTTAATGCACATTTTTCACTGGTTTTAACTAGTAAATTATGTATACGTTTTGGGATGATTCTAAATTGTAACAGCATGTTTAAAAATGTGTCTCCTTCACTGTAAACAAAGTGGAAGAGGCAACTAACAGAATCCCACGACACCGTACTGTACCCCCGCTGAGGTAAGTGGTCACAAAGAACAGCATTGTAACGTGCTGAACATAAATCTAAAAATAAAAGCCAATATTTCATATTTATACCGTTACACTTTCTTAAATGACTCAGTAATGTATTAAAAGGAGAATCTGCTCTTAAAAGCAGCGAACTGACACAATTTGGTTTGGGTGAAAACAGACTAAATGTTAGGCTGAAAACGTTTGCTTATCTATATCACAAAGTGCTACTGCACCACCGGTAAAGTATCTCATTCGAAAGATACGTCTCACAGCTGGAGGGGACCTTCCCTGCAGAGCCACGCTGTCAGCTGTTCGCCAAACCTCAAATGTTCTTTACAGGTATTACCGCACCGAACGGTTTCTAGACAAGACTAAATCTAATTTATACCAGCATCTTGCAGATGGCAGCAAAATGCCACATCGCTTCAGTCAAACGCCTACGGAGCACAGCCTCTTTCTATACATTAATGAACACCAAAGTTACGTTGTCGCCTATCAGACGGCTTGAGTGAATATATTAATATTATTAGGTGTAAGCTACTTGCTATAACATTCAAAACAATCCACATGAAATCTACACATCAAATTAGTGTAACACACTTTTCTATTTTCTTCTAACTTTAATTTCTCTGCGTCATCTCTAACCTTCGCTCAATACACTTTCTGCACTGTTGCATAACAATATTTCAAACCAAGTCAACTACCTTCCACATCATCGCTGTATTTAAGCAGACTGCCACCTCTAAATCCCGCTGCTATACTGCACACTCAACCTTCTGTGCAACAAAAATACCAAAAAGTATCAAAAGGGAACAATAATCACGGGAACCACAGGACACTTTGTGGAAAAAAACGTCAGAAGACGCTACAGATCAGGTCTCTGACAATCCAGCTGCAGATACACACTAAACAAATTGTGTTGTCTTTTTGAAGTAATGACAATTTTCCTGTCGCCTGGAGTCCATCTAATTCCGCACGTGTCACAATGTCATGAAGTCAATAAGCGATACTCACTTTTCACTGAGCCGAGAAATTCTTTGACAGGATGTTAATTTGTCCAATTCGAGGTTAACAATGAGATAACCGACGTCATTCATGCCTCTGGAGAATAACCACAAGGGGATTGTGTCTTCTGTTGGCGAGGACAGCATTGATAAATCTTTGGAAGTAAACCGGAAAGTTCAGATTTGTTTTAAACTTTATGATTCAGGGTTAATTCACAACTATTTTACTGTATGTAGTAGTGTTTTGTCTATTCTTTTCTACATTTTACCATCGTTAAAAGTATAAAAATCAAACGACGGGGTTAGTACGAGCGCGTTAAGTTGCCGCCGGACTCCTGCAAGCTGACCAGCAGGTCATCCATCTTCTCCATGTTCTGAGAGGCGGCCAAGCTGTTCGGCACGGGCCCAGATTGAGACAGGGACTGGTTGAGCAGAGACTGGATGTGCGCTTCACTCTCTCTTTGGTTCTGACCAGACTGGCTAATGGCAATAATCTGATCCGACAGCGTGTTTCCCGGCGCGTTCATCAGGTGGTCACATTCTGCAGTAAGGGAACACAATGAGTTCAGATTCAATTATTCTATATTCTTCTCTCTCTGTCTCTCTCTCTATATATAGGACTTTATACAATGTTTTCTCAAAGCCGTCGTTGTCAGTCATTAACACAACAGTATTAAAAGGTGTGTACCTGTGCAATCAATTTCTCACCGTTCTGAATCCCAAAAAGGAAGAGGCCAGGTTGTTGAGGCTGGCTGGGCTGATTGACGCTCCCACTGACAGCCGTCTGAAACAGAGTCCCCGGCTGTTGAACGGGGGAGGAGGTGGTCGTCTGGAGGTTCGCCACGCCGTTCTGTGAGGCAAACATGGCGGACTGTGCGAGCTCCTGAGTAGCCAGCGCCCCCTGCAGAGAGCCCATGTTGGCCTGAGGCATATAGAGGCCCACAGGTTGCTCCTGCCGGTTGTTTGAGCTGCTGCCCAGCTGCATCGGCTGCTGCTCCTGAAACATGACAACCCGCTGCCGTGGATCGGCGGGGTTTCCTAAGGCCATGGGCTCGGACCGATCCTGCTGGTTTACTGTCACCATGCCTGCCTGGGAAAAGAGCAGAGAGGTGTTTGGGGGCTCTTGGGAGACCAAGCTGCTGCTGGTCAGTGGTGGCATCTGCCCCTGGCTGCTGAACAGCAGGCTGGAGGCCTGTTCCGGAGCGGACAGGGGGTTGTTGCAGAACAGCAGGCCCGCCTGCTGCTGCTGGCCGGCTGAAAGCGTGTTCGCAGACGGGTGTGGGGGCATGCTCTGAAACAGGGAGGCCTGCTGGGCCGGCTGTGCGTGGGGCTGAGGCTGGGAAGGCTGATGCTGCTCCATCGGGCTTCTCTGTGGTATTGTGGGGAGCTGGGTTTGAGCCTGAAACACAGATTGTGGTTCAGAGGCGGGCGCTTGTAGAGCACTGAGAAAGGCCAGCTGCTGCTGCTGTTGCTGCTGCTGCTGGTGTTGTTGTTGTTGTTGTTGTTGTTGTTGTTGAGCACTACTGGTTGCGAGCTGAGAAGACAGGGATGTCTGAGGGAGGAAAAGTCCAGGGGTGGATGGCTGTTGGTCCGGAGACTGCAGTACTGTCATGGTGTTTTGGAAAAGAGTGGCCTGGACCTGTTCCTGAGAGGCTTTCTGGAACAACGTTGCCTGTGAATCTTGCGTTTTAGCCAAAGAACTGGGGTTGTGGAACATGGGTGGGGAAGGGTGTGCTGGGGTCTGCTGGAGAAAGTTGGTCTGAATCGAGAGCAATTCACTAGCCTGCTGAAAGAGAGCCGCTTGTTGCTGCTGCTGCTGCTGCTGCTGTTGGTGTTGTTGCTGCTGCTGCTGTTGTTGTTGGGCCTGTTGAAAAAGTGTCCCTTGGTTCGGCACCACCCCCTGTGACGGGCCCTGCTGCTCTGCGTTCTTGGCCTGAGGGGCGTCCTGAAACATGCCACACTGCATCTGAATCTGTGACTGAAACAGCTGCTGCTGTAAAGTCTCCAACGCTTGCTGCTGCTGCTGAAGCTGTTGTTGCTGGATTTGTTGCTGCTGAATTTGCTGTTTCTGGATACGTTGTTGGTGCTGAAGGTGGTGCTGCTGCTGGTGTTTGGCCATCGAGTTGTCCATGTTACAGAACCCTTTGGCTTTAAGCTGCCTCACTGCCTCCTCCAGCTGGGCTACTTCGTCTGGGGGGAAAAGAGGCAGTTGCTGCTGTTGAGGTGCAGGTTCTCCACACAGACTCCCCACAGATCCAGAGCCGTCGCCGAGCCTGTCCTGTCCGAGACCCTCTATGGGGCTCCAGGAGGAACTGCCGTGGTCCTTGCTGGAGCAGAGATTCCACGGGCACAGAGAAGGAGCCGGTGGCCGCCATGTCCTGCTTCTGAATTGTGCCTAAGGGCTCTGCGTGGGGAAAACAGGAGGCTGGCTTTGGTCGGGTTCGCCTGCAGGTGAGACAGGTTGTTGGAGAATGGTCTGTTTTTATTTAGGTGGCCTGCAGTCATGTCTGGGTTCTGCTGTGGGGGGCACAGGTCACTAGTCTGCTGAAAACACAAAATAAAACATAGTTTGCTTTGAAATTAAGTTGTCAGTTCTATTTATATTTTGTTATATCTTTGTCAAAACGGTCCACATAACACTTACGACGGAGACAATTAAGTATGAACTTAAACTTATTAGTTGTATGTAATATTATTACAATAAAGTGATCGATGAAGCCTTTAAATAGGTTACAGATCAATAGATCACCTTGAATACACCAGAAGATTGGATGTTGCTGGTGACCTCCATCGGAGTGACATGTTCTCTCTTCACTAAACGCAACATCGGAGGCATCAAGTCGCCATCTAGAAATGTAAAAGCACCGCCAAGGAATACATGTTATTTTTAATATGTTTTATTTTGTGTTCACTGCTACTCAGGGAAGTGGCAATTTGACAAGCACAGTATTAGAAAAGCACAGCTTTCCAAACGGAGGCTACAATCGTGGTTACAAAGAGAGAGAAGTCAACAAAGGGAAGTTAACCTTTAATTTGTTCATCAACTGAGCAAGTCTTCACTGGAGAAGGCACTTCTTTCTTCACAGGAACATCATTCTTTGCTATTAGGGCGAACAACAGATGTTTATCCATATGAGCTCTCCCCTTTACTTGTTTTTGTAAAAAGGAACAGATGAAGGGAAACCTTGTGTGATTTAGTAAGTTAAGTCAAGCGGGAACCAACCTGAATCTGGAGTGTAGGTAAAGGGCTGAACATCATGGGATCTCCCAGCATTTGTCACCACATAGATCCCCACACACACTGAAGAGGTGATGGATTGGTTCTGGTACGGAGGCACCTTCACGATCACGTGATTCTAGGGTGATCGTTTAAAGAAAGTCAGCGAAAAAGAACAAATACCCCAGTAGGTCTGACTGCACTTATCTAATCAGGGTCAAAGGGTGAGTCGATAAGAGCGTAAAGAATATTCATCACTTTATCTGTATCTTTTGACACATCATGAGCACGGGGATGACGTGATTCACATTACTCTGCCAGGTAGTTTGATCTACACAAATAATGTGAAGGAAATGTCTAACTACTAAAAAAGTATTCATATTAACTCATAATGCTGTTTATAACTCTATGATATTCTCAGTTGGTGCAACCACATGCTGATGATGGGAATTGTTGAATCACAGTTGAATTACGTTTTCATTACGCCTGTAAGCACCAGGTGGAAGTAAAGCCAAGAAATGTAGCAGACGCATCAACTCATCTACCTCTGAGCATTTTGTTTACATGGGAAAGGTTTAGACTGTTGACACTCACTCAGCACCGCTCCTGAGACTGAGGGTAATTAGGTCAGAACACAATGAGACTACTCAAACCTTTGAACCAGCGGACATTAAGATGATTACATCTAAAGCCCCATACAAATCTGAAAAGGCTGCTTATTTCTCCTAAGCTGACGAGTAATTGGAAATAAAGGGATAGCTGAGAAAGTGGGGTTGTGTGACAGGTACACCTGTCCGTGTCTCTAAACTAGGTGCGTGGTGACGGACCCCCCCGATAGATAATACACTGACTATGGACAACAGTACGAGTACAACACCACTTCAAAAATGATCTGACGATTAATCCTTCAGTACAAAAATACCACAAGAGCAATCACATTTTACCTGGTGAAACAGCTCCATGTCAATCTCAGCCTCTGCCTTCCACGATTTCTCATCTGGAGCAGATAGAAGACTTGAGTGAGTGAGTTTTAAGGTTTGGCAAACCATCACAATGCATGAGCCTAAAATATCCACAGACAACAGCATTCATAAAAATAATAATTTCTTTACCAGAGACTTTCTCCTGAAAAATGACTTTGGTGTCTTTCAGAAAGTTTTTTCCAATGATAAAGACCTCTTCGCCGCCTCTCACTGAACAACTGTGTAGTGACTTCTTCAGGATTTCAGGAACTCCTGCAGGCTGAGCTGAAAACAGTAATACAGCGTCACTTCTACCATTTCTACAAGAAAATACGTTGGTTTCATGAAAGAAACAAAAGAAGCAAATCTGGTTTTCACTCAAACATTTTCAGAAGTTTGAATGCAATTTAAGATATTTGAATTCCTTCCAGAAGAAGACCTGTAAAAGAGGAACTTTTTTGGGGACATTTCAGGCTCGGGAATGGCAATACGTTAAACAACAGTGAACCTAAAATAAGCCAGATATTACAAATCTATTTCCCGTACATATGCCAAGGGTATTACCATTTTTGGGAAAGATATTTCCCTTGATTACATCCTAACTCTGTGTAAACAATAGAAGTTCACACACTCACCTCTATTGTTTTGCCCTTTCCTTCCCCTTTCTCCCCGGGCTCTCTCAAAGCACTTCTCCCAAATCAACTTACACAGAAACGTTCTTAAAAGCGTCTTTCCTGTTTACAGAACCAACCATACCGGTGAAGCTTAACACATTATATGAACTAGCACTTGAACCTAAGGGGATCCTTACGCACTGTGAACCAGCGTGGACAAAGAAAGTCAACAGCCTCCAGACGAAGACTTGATTAAACGTCAGAAGCAGGAGCTCTCACGTTAAAGAGGACAAAATAGTCATGTGTTAACTACTAACTAACTGTAAATCAGCCGTCTGCTTTGCTTCTTGTGATTGTAGTTTGTTACAGTGAAATGAAACACTGGGATCTTTGCATTTATAATAGCCTTTCCATACCAACACAAGGAGACTGACTTACTACACAGGATTGGATGTGAGGGAGTCTGTAGTGTGAGAACTGATCCATCTGGACGGGGGATGTTGACCCGAAACACCAGCCGAGCGCGAGTGCTCTTCTTCTTCGATCCTGCCACACCAATACGAGCCTCGACGTCAGCGTTACGGAGCTTTAAGATCCCAACACAGTCCACCCTGCACAGACAGACCGTGTAAGCCCTCTTACAACCTTAGATACTCTATGACGAACACTTACGGGATAAATAAGAATTATACTAATAGTAGTTATGCATTATGTCATCTCTTTATTTATCTGTGAAGTACAACTGGAAATATACAAAGATACACTTCCGATTTCAAATTAAATCTAATGGACTAATATTTATCACAAAAACGACCCAATTAAAAAAAAGTACACACGCTAGTGTCATGTTGGTGCTTGGATCAAGGGACACCTCGATGACAGTTGTCCCATCAATGTCCACCTCTTTGCAGGCTGTGGTGTTGCGACCAGTAACCCTGCAAGCTTGATAAAAACCATGAGGCTTCACACGTCCAGTGTCGTTGGCCACAAACACCTGCAAGAACACCGGCTCATTCACTCCCTCCAGCTGTGTAATAAAAACAAGAAAAGTCATACACACACATTAGCAAAGATCTTTAATATAGATGCTTCTCTACCTGTCCAAGATATTCCAGCAGTGGTAAAGTACTTATGCATCACACTAACGGTTACCTTTATTGTGGGAAAGCCCTGTTGAGTGCGGTCCTTCACCGACCCTCTGCTGCCTTCAGTCAGATAGCGCGCTCGGTGCTGAGTCTCTGGCTGGACGAGGATCCTCACTTCCTTCCCCTCACTTCTTTGTGGGTATTGCCTCGAAAGTGATCCTCCTTTCTGGTTCGTTGTATGAGGATCATTAGAGCTGCTAAAAGAACCGGTTTGACAGAGACACCAGCAGGTTATTTCTAATTCTTAAATTGTCCAGCATGGACGCACACATTTTATTTTGGTACAACTTGGCTGGCATCATCTGCCAATGCAAAGTCAACAAGCCCGGCATCAACCAGGCACATTCTATAGCCTGCTCGGTTTATTTTATCTGCTCTTACTAGGTCTTTCAGAGAGGCTTTATTATTCACTATGGCTGTCCATTGTTTATACTTCAGGATCCGGCCCTTCCCTCAGGTCAACTTATACACTTACACTCATATATATATATATATATATATGTAAATACATACTGTATATATATAATATAAAACAAAGACAAACAGACATTCCTTACGATTAATGAATTATGAAGCTAATTGGCGATTCATTTCTCTCAAATGAATAATCAATTAATCAATAAATGGATACAGCTCTACAAAATATTTTTGGAAGAAAGTTGATAAGTGCTCGAGTAGAGCTTCAGGTACTTTGTGGTGACTTAACATGTTCTCTTAAGACACCTAATGTATTTTGACAACTGTCTGAGATGTAGATGAGCATTTCTTGGACATTAAGATCTGAGTCAAACTCAGTTGTACTTCAAAATAACTACATTTAAAGGTTGAACAAACCTTCCTTTGGATCCAGTCTTGTTGTCAGGGCCTAGCTGTGACAGTACAAAGTGTGGACCTTTGGCACTGTCTGCGTCGAACACGTCCATGCTGGACTCCCCGCGTCCTGCAGACTTAGGGCCAGGCCTCTGACGAGGCGTACGTTTGCGGGACTTCCGTGGCACCTCATTGTTGTCATTGTAAGAAACAGCGCTTACGATGCTGAAGTTGGAGAGAGAGTCTTCCATCCAGATGCTGTTACTCTGCTCCGAATCCAGAGACGTTCCATCCTGGCAAGACATCCGGCTGTCATCCAGCAGGTCTTGTGGAGGTGGAGAGATGTTCAGCACAGTGCGGCGCTTGGACGGGGTCATCTGATGATGTGGCTGGGCCTCCTGGGACGTTCCGCCTCTTACTCCTCGTGGCTCGCTGCTACTCCTGCCGCTACCAGTGCCACCGTCTGCCCCCATGACCTCAGGGACCACTCGGCTGCTCCTTGCGTCCTCCGGGTCAACAGTGCCGCAGTGGACCGGGTCACTGGCTGAAGGACTGGAACGCATGGTTTGGGTGGACGAGGTGGGAAAAGCACTGCGGGGGCCTTCCATGGTCATAGAGGACATGGCATCTACAGTGCAGATAAATAAACAATGAATAAAGGCCTTTCAACCAGTGTTGGCTAGCAGTCCCATATAAGCAGCAAAATTGATTTATGATATATTTTTGGGTTTTGGTTAGCTTTTTAATTTTTTAATTTATCCAATTAAAATTGCGCCGTTTGCATTGGATCTTAAGTGTGTGTGTGTGTGTGTCTGTTGTGCTGATGATATCTGAGGATTTGTATGTACATCATAGGTACATCATAGGTGTGGCTAAAAAGGGGCTAAAAAGAGATCAAAAGTGAAAAATAAAAATAAATAAATTAAGACTTAAAAATGCTTGTGAATAAACTAAAAAAAAAAATATTTATTTATCAATATTGTTATCTTTTTGTTCCTGTTTAACTGCAAAATTGGCCAAAATAATGTTATGGTTCAAAACACTAATATGTACAATAAGATGCATGCCAATTATTGGAGCTTTTACTTTCAATTTTCTTTGTTTTGCTACAAATGTCAATTTCGTTGGGACTGAACGTAGCCACAGAGACAAAATAAACAAGCTTCTGACCTATGAAGCAGAGAACTGCAGACCATTTTATATGCAGACACTCCCTGCTTCAGAGGGAACTTCCTGGAATATAAAAATGAGACAGCGAATGAGCAATAAGAGCTGAGCAGTAAAATGTATTCAGATTTTTTTGGAAGGAATAATTACACAGGTTATTTGGTTTGTCAAAGAATATTGCTCCAGCATGCTGACATACACTGTAATTTCAAAAGCATTCAAATAGTTACAAAGAACTAGATGAAGAGTGGGGAAAAGTCGGGTTAAGTTACAGATAAAGAGGTAAAAGGTTAAAAAGAAGTTAAGTGATGGTTACATTCCGGATTGTGTGGGGACTCATTAGTTTGCAAGACACACAGTCAGAAAGAAAAAGAGGCACATAAACAATATGGAGGCACTGTCAGTTTGAGCAAGTATCAAAACACAAACACATAGAGCATATTATGCTTAAAACCCAAATGTATGACCAATAATGTCACATGTCCAATGCTTTTACAGATTTTGACAGGTGGGTTATGAGTGTTTACCCTGTATTATACTAGTTGCACTACAAGAAGGATTTTAAAACACTGCTGTAAATTAAAAAAAATATCACATGACTTTTGCCAACCCCTCTTGCAGTGAGGACATAAAAGCTTTCTGGAGTGGATGCGGATCCCCTGGCTTCATAAGAAGGACCGACATCTTTAACAAAAACAATGCATGAGGAACCCCGCCGCCCCGTCTGGGGGATGCATGCTCACCTGCAGCTATGCATGGCCCAGACATAGCCCGCTCTACCGGCAATAGGCTTAATCAGCATTGTGTCAGGTCCTTTGGCTTGAATGTAATGAACGTTCATAAATATGTAAAAGTCCAGCAATCTAGCTTTAAAGAAAATTCCTTTTGAAATAAAAAATACAATCCAGATAATGTTTCATGTAGTAAAATTAAGTAAAACGTACTTCTCTTTCGCTTTCCTCCGGGCACATTTTTAAAACCGGTTGGAGCGCAGGAAGTGGCTTTAATGTAGCCGGTCCTTGAATTTAATGAAACACTTTTGATGGCTTTGTGGGGAATTTTCAGAAACAAATTGTTGTAAATGTTCAATACAAAGAGCTACATAGTTATATTTTGTAATATTATCTCCACACTACTAACTCGTTTGAACTAAATGTATTGCTTTTGTGACTTGCGGACATCATCAGACACTGGCATGAGAGAGGAAACCATCTACTATGTACATGTACGTATGTAAAACCAGTGACACAGGGGTTTTCTCTGTACTTCTTTTGCTGTGTTTTAATGGTAGATCTTAAACTGTGCTTAACATTTCATATTTGTTTGCCAATTATTTGTTACTAGTTACTTGTTAATGTTCTCTTTTTGGAGAATACTATGTAAAAAGAGAACGCACAATGAAAGTGTTCTTTCCAATGTTTAATATCGGGAGAAAAAATAACTAAACATTTTTTCTCAACATTGAACTTTTTGGACTAAAATACCAGTTGTGACGCATTGAGCAAAACATCTGTTGTTCAACTAAAATGCACCAAACCAAAGTGTTTGTTTTAAAGATGTATGTATGTGACCACACTGCGAGCACAACCATCAATAAAATGACTATTTGCAACGGTGTGAATTCAACGAGATTATCATCCACAAAAACTGGGTAGATTGTATATACTGTATTCGAAATTATCTGATATCTGGCCACTATAATATTTTCTCTATTCAAAAATAGCTCAACCTTGGGAATGCAGAATGTTGAACAAGGTGACTGCAGCCATTCAAAAAAGTGAAAAAAAAACACTGTAAATTAATTATAAGCGCCGTTGGGGTCTCTCTGGTTGCGGGATTCTGTGTACGGTTTTAACCATGTCCCTATTTTATTGTCCAATTCCATAGAGGAAATCTAAACCCGTGATACATGACCTACATTTCCTCATGGCACCGGGTGCTGACATGTGTTTTTTTGAGGTAGAGTATAATCAATCCTGCTCAAATAGGAGAAATAAAGCTTAAAGGAGCATGATCCTACCTGATGCTAAAGCAGCTGAAGGGGGAGGCCCTGCCTCTCCGCCGCTCGTTTGACTCATGACTTTCAGGCTCTGATGGGTGAAAGAAGGCAGCTGTAGCTCTCTGGGAAGAAGGTCATACGCAGATTCTGTTCAGAGGCGGAAACAGGTAAAGGGGATGATCAGGGGATGTACCAACAGGAAGACCCCAACGAGAATCATTATTTAAACAGCTTGTTGGGGACATGAAGCGATTCATTTCACAATGGACTCTGACAGAGTATGTAACTACATTCATTTTTAGTGGGTATAAATATTTTTACTAGTTAAATGAAGTGTCTCGCATTTATTGGAAGCAATTAAAAATAATTTTCAAAGCAATTTTTTTAATCAGCTGCCACTAAGAATCACTGTTTTCATTGGCTTCGAATGAGTCCTTTGTATTTTTATCTGGAACAGGTCGTATTCACAGTGTCTGCCACGTTCTCTTCATGCTTTGAAAGGGAGGGTAAGTGGAGAGATTCTATTGATTGCTATCTGCAGCCTCACCACTAGATGCCACAGAATTCCACAAACCAGCCCTTTAAACACGACAATGACCTTCTGCCTGACTTAGACTTAGAGAGCTTTGCCAATTTTGCATTGCCCTTCTGCAACATTGTCAGACAAAAACAAGAGGTCTCTGTTTCTGATTCATCTTATTTTAAGCTCCCCAATATCCTCTCCTCCAGTTCTTTCCCACCTAAAATGCGAGCCGAGACAAAGGAGAGACACAAGGGATCTGATCCTCGCACAAGACTGTCCATTTTCTTTAAGCTAAACTGTAAATTCTGGTCTCTGAGGACACATTGACGATGACCAAACCCAATGGGGCAAAAAAGCATGAGACTACAAAAACACGGAGATAAAAGCAAAAGCTCTGGCATGCTGAATAAACAGCACACCTCATTACAAACTGGCTGCATTGCCGTACAAAGCCTTTTCCCCTCCTCTCCGTGCCTCCCTCAGGCCCAGTAGGACACGGGGAAGGCAGAAAGCCTTGGGTCAACAGCATGACAACACTTTTACCAGCAGCCTTATTCATCATCCAAATATTATGGTATGAACTCAGAGCGGCCATTACAGTCGCCTGACTCTCTTCTCTGCAAACTGCCAGCTTTAATTACTCGCAGCTGAGTCGCAGGGTTCGGTGTGTATATCAGATACTTAACCCTCCCATTGTTACCACTCGCTGTGCACAATAGACAAACCTGGGACATATTGAAACCAGCCCATGCCTCTTCATTCCAAAAGCCCTCCAGTCTCCTACGGCTCGCTTCAGAAGAGTAGGGAATGCTGGTTCCCAGAAAGGGAGCTTAAATCTGGACTCTGCAAACTCATATAACTCACACCGAACCACACATGCACACAGGACTCCAGTGTGGTTTTGCTGGTTATTTGCTAAGTTCTCCAAACAAAATCTCGGGCACACATGCATGCACACAAACGCCCCCGCTCTCCCTACCACCTCCGCAAAAACACTTTCTCTGCCCCTGCATTTACACTTCAACTCAACGGTCTGCTCGGGGCTCACTGACTAACTGCACATGCAGCAACATGTGCTGTGGGCGAGCAGCACTTCCAGTAAACGGATTTCCAACCGCACCGACAGAAAATATGTACTCTTCTCTCCGAGCCGTGGTCTGGGATGACTGGCTGGCCTGTTCAAAGTATTTCCACAGTCTCTCGATGTTTTAAAAGACAGAATCTTTTTTTTTTTGCCTCGTATATGTTTGTTCGCAAGCCGACAGGGTGCTATTATTCATGTGCAGGTGACAGAACACTGTCCCTTTCACTCAGCAGAGGATTTAAAAACTAAAAGGTCAGCCTTGTTTGCTGGGAAATACACTCACGCACCACGTGGTGTTTTGATCAAGAGCAAGACAGTGGTCCTCTTGTGCAGACCACTGAGGAAAATCTTTCATTTTCTGTCCAGTCAGTGATTATCATAATAACAGATTAAAACCTGACCAAACTATTCACACTGACAAACAGCATGCTCTGCTAGTCAGCTTTAATTAGGCTTACTCGTGCTATTAATACATTTTGACAAATTAAATCTGAGTTGAAAGTTGCCGATCTTCCTTGACCTCTTCACAAATGTAATTTCGGTTCACGCTCAATGCAAACAGCAGGATAAACAAACACATTCGCTTGAAATCGCTTAAAAAGTTTAACTTCAGAAATCCTGCATAAAGTTCTATGCTTTTGGAGCGAGCCAGCGGTCAAATATTTTGCTCTTTCTATCCTCACCATACCTTGTTATGTAATTGTATGGCAAGTGTTGCATGCTATAGGTGAAAAAAAGTAAGCACTCACCATGTGAATGGCAGGACTTACACTCCCATTCATTTCCCTCACATTCCTGCTGCTTGCTCTTACAAGCCCGGGCACCTGGGGCGTGGCAGTTTTTTTTGTGACTGATTTAACTCCCCTTCAGTCCCCCTCCTCCACTCAGCCTACCTCTGCCCCGCCCCCTGTCTTGTTTACTGTGCTCCCTGACCCCTTTCTGTACCAGCTCAACGGGTTAGTGGCATTGCCATGTAGACTCCTGTCAAGCAGAAATGAGGCAAAATAATAATCTGGCCGGGCCTTGTAAAGAATTCAGTTAGTTTTCTCGGTGGAACTAAGTAAGAAGTGATAAGGTCAGTACATTTGGAGATTATTCCAAGCAGTGAAGGGAAAAAAAGAAAACGGGCTGGCACCTGCAGCAAACCATGTACAACAACCCTGAAATGTTTACAGCCAAGCCTACATGAAGGCTGCCAGGGAATCATAGCAACACGAATCCAGGGACAAGACTTTTGAGCGTTTGCATCTCTCGTGAGATTGTGTGGGGTAAATGTGAAATATATATATACGAACCACATTTATGTGGCATAAATCTGAATCATCTCTGTAAAATGTCACATATTATCTTATTTGACACCATTGATTGCTAAGAGATAACATTGATAACCAAATATTAGTCTTTACGTTATCATAAATGTCTGTTTACTTACAGTTTTTATGATTGGTAGTTATTTTGACTGGTGTATTATTTTGGTAGATATTTCCTAGAATTTTGAATCATAACTTCTGTGGTCCAAAATGCTGCATGCTGTGACAACTGATCTGCATATTTACACTATCAATTTCTACCTCATTACTTAAAATAATGTCATGTCAAGATGGGGGGGTTTATACAAAACAAAACTATGTCTGTATCGTTTGCACAATAAGTTGGGTGGGTGACATGTCAGCTGAAGTAAGATGACCGCTCAGGATATGAAATCTGTGTGACGTGTGTGTCCGGTGTCCAGAAGGCCACTCAGTGTCTCATCATGATCAGATGTATGTCTCAGGATAAAGAACATGACGGCCCATGAGATTATTGTGCGTGCCCAAAACTTTCCTGTTTATCATACCTTATCCCAGTACATATGTGGGGGCTGGAAAAGAAGACCTTCAAGCAGGCTTGGCGCATGACTTGTATGTGTGTCAACTCTGTCTCCTGTTTGCTAACATTAAATGTCCTGTTTTTGATGATTTTACACTGGTGTCGAGTGACAATTTTTCTAACAACTTCCAAAAACGACAAAAAGTCATTCCCAAAATGTTAGCCATTGAGTTCACATTCTGAAATATTGTTGTTGGTTCAGTGAAACCTAAAGTATTAATGCAGACTGAACAGTTATCGCTCTGCGAAATCCAATACAAATCAGCAGTAACAGACTGAAGCCTAAAAAATACCAGAAATGTGTTATGACGACGTATCAAGAACTACACATTATAATCTTGTACCAGGGTTTACGAGAGCTATGGGGGGAAACATCCAGCAGGTGTTTTGTCTTCTATTTCTAATAACAAGCGGCAGATGGAAACGGTCACATGCGAGAAAAGCCACCTAGTGTGACGACTCGAAGAGACTGAAGATTAACTTCCTGTTTTATTTTTGTAACCACGGCACTTCCTGTATCTAGTTTCCCCCCACAGCTGAGTTTAGTTTGTAATCACCCCCACCTGTATTTAAGCCTCAGTTCCCCACTTGTCTGTGTCAGGTTATCTTTTGTCGTTCCTAGAGGTACATGTTTGTTGTTAAATTCCCAGTGCTGTTTTTGTAATCTTGTTTCTACGTTGTTGCCAGGCTCTCTTCCTTTTTGTTTTCTACAAGAGCGTGTGGATTCCGCCTTTGCCTGTGCCCCCTTTGTTTTGCATTAGTTTACTCTCCTAGTAAAAGATTCCAAACCTTGAAAGAATTCTCTGTTGCCTTATTGCTCTGCACCTGAGTCGAAGTCCTGACCCCTCACACCTAGCAACAAGTCGTAACAGCATCGATAAACAGGGGCCTACTGCAGGTAATGTAACGAGATGTAAATTCCTGCATGACCATACGAAGCTGTCTGATTCTGTTAAAAAAAACAACACCAAACCCCCCCCAATTTCCTACCTGCTCTGATAAAAGAGTAATATATTACCCTGCATGTTCCTCGATCATCCATTCGCCGATCCAATATTCAGCTGTGAACCCTTATCGTACAGCATTTTAAAGTTCAATCAATATTAACATCGGTTGCAAACAGTCATATAATCTGAGGTGGGGATAAATGGTTTTATCATTTTGGATGAAGGTCAATGCCGATAACCTTGATGAGTGATTTGGTTACGAATAGAGCTCCACATATACCATATACTGTCACTGCCCAATAAGTGTTTGAGCTACACTCTTTATTCCACATAAACTAAGCTTTGATATCAGGTACAAGAGGAACCCAGGTCCCCGACCGTAGAGTCACTGACTAAAAAAAACACATGATCGCATCAGACATGATGACTCAAATATGTTCCAATAAATGGTTTGTTACTATGATGCACAAGCAGCCTTTATAACTGGAGGTGATGCCATTGCAGTTAATCAGAAGTTGCATTAAGGAAGGATGACGAGAACATCAATACTTTTGATCAAGGGATGAGGAAGCAGATGAGAAAACAACAGGATGTGTGAAATGTTGTATCTGTCGAATTGCATGTTGCAACAGCAGAATCACAACAGCACTTCAAGCTGCAGCGCTTTGAGTCAGGAAAACATCGGACCAAGCTACATGCCCGCCAACAATTCAGTGCAAAGAAA